GCTTTGTGGCAAGTTACGTAGAGATCTACAACGAGACTGTCCGAGACCTGCTGGCCACTGGGGCCCGGAAGGGCCAGGGGGGTGAGTGTGAGATTCGCCGGGCAGGGCCAGGCAGCGAGGAGCTTACGGTCACCAACGCGCGCTACGTTCCGGTCTCTTGTGAGAGGGAGGTAAGCGCTGAGGGCCACTAGGCCTGGACGTGGGGTCGGAGGGCTGGGGCGCAGGCAGAGTGATGCAGGACGGAGGTGGGGGAGCGGGCAGGGTGAGGAAGGGCGAGTGGCGACGACAGATCGGATGTTTGGCTTTGGCTGCTGGGCTGTGAGGTGGAATCAAGGCGTGGAGAGAAGTGACACGTCTCCTGAGACGGGTGCCCCTGGGCCCCACATGGCAATCTCTGTCTCATCTCTGCCCCCTCTGCTTGTTCAGCTCACGACATCCCTGCTGGCCTCCAGGCTTTTCCTAAGCCTGGTCATCACACCCTTGGATCAGGGCTTTTGTACCTCCTCTGTCCATTGCCTGACATGGTCTTACGTTCCTTTCCCAGCAGGGCTGGATTGCCCCCTAACCACCTTAAAGTTTTTAAGGTGTTGAGGCCATCCCTAACCATCTTTTTTTTTTTTTTTAAACTTTTGGCTGCACTGCATGACTTATGGGATCTTAGTTCCCCAACCAGGGATTGAACCTGTGCCCTGGCAGTGAAAGCATCGAGTCCTAACCACTGGACTGTCAGGAAATTACTGCTGGTTATCCCTTCTAAAATCAGAACCCTCACCATCACACACTGCTTTTCTATTTTTATTCCCTGATAATCTCAGACACACTGTGTATTTTAATTATTTAGACTTTTGCTGGCTAGAAAAAAGCACCAAGAAGGCAGGTGCTGGGTCTTGCTTATTGCCATATCTGACCTATGGGTTCCCAGGTGGCTCGGTGGGTAAAGAATCTGCCTGCAGTGCAGAAGACATAGACGCGGGTTTGATCCTTGGGTTGGGAAGATCCCCTGGAGGAGGGCACGGCAACCCACTCCAGTGTTCTTGCCTGGAGAATCCCATGGACAGAGGAGCCTGGCGGGCTACAGTCCACAGGTTGCAAAGAGTCGGACTTGACTGAAACGACTGAGCACGCAGGCATGCATGCACGCCTGACCTGGCTATGGGCTGACCACTGCCTCACTTCACCTCTTGCTGCACCCTATCCCCAGGTGGAGGCCCTGCTCCATCTAGCCCGCCAGAACCGCGCTGTGGCCCGGACAGCCCAGAATGAGCGCTCATCGCGTAGTCACAGCGTGTTCCAGCTGCAGATCTCTGGGGAGCACGCTGGCCGAGGCCTGCAGTGTGCAGCCCCCCTCAGCCTGGTGGACTTGGCTGGGAGTGAGCGGCTCGACCCCGGCTTAGCACTCGGCCCTGGGGAGCGGGAACGCCTTCGGGAAACGCAGGCCATTAACAGCAGCCTGTCCACGCTGGGGCTGGTCATCATGGCCTTGAGCAACAAGGTAGGAATGGGGGTGGGGGCAGGTGGGCCCTGGGAAGCGGCTGGTACTGGCTGTCCCCAGCCCTGTCCTAATCGCCTGTCCCTCTCCACCCTGTAGGAGTCCCACGTGCCTTACCGGAACAGCAAGCTCACCTACCTGCTGCAGAACTCTCTGGGCGGCAGTGCCAAGATGTGAGCAGAAGTGGTGGGCTGGGAGCCACCGTGTCAGGGTCAGGGTGGGGGCAGTGATGTAACTGATTCTGGGGTTTGCCCCCTCTCCTCTGTCCACAGGCTCATGTTTGTGAACATTTCTCCCCTAGAAGAGAACGTCTCTGAGTCCCTCAACTCCCTACGCTTCGCCTCCAAGGTGCGGTCACTAGCAGCCCCATCCCCGTCAGGCTTCCTGCTGACTGTAGGCGTCTGCACCCTGGTCCTTCAGGCTAGCGGCACGTGCATCCCGAAAGGATGTACATTTGCCAGGCAGTTAACTATTGACTTCTGGGGGTGTTTGATGAATTAAGTTTTTAAAACTATGTGGTTGAAAGGTCAAAAATATGTAGAAAGCTGTATACAAGTGAGATTTAACCTCTGCCCCGCCCACCACATTCTCTCTCCGGTCCTAGTAGTCGTTGTCACATTTTATCCTTTTACTTCTCTCTGTTTCTTTTTGCAAATACAAGCAATATGCATGGGATTTCCCTCTTTCTTAGAGAAGACATCTCTTCCCCTCTCTCTCATGTATTATATGTTGTCCTGCCTTTTTTTTTTTTAATTAACAAGACAGCCTTAAGGATGGGGCGGTGGCCAGGGAGAGTGGGGGAAAAAGAAAAAAAATCAGACAGCCCTAGGATGATTCCCCACCAGCACACAGAGATCATCCCATTATTTTTACATTTGCCTAGGACTCCACTGTATGGATGCGCCAAAGTTTATCCACCAGTTCCCACTACTGGACACTTGGATTCTTTCCACCCTTTTACTATTACAAACAAGGCTATGTTGACTAACCTTGTACATATCATTTTATAATATTTGCTTGGTTACATTTAACTATCCAGAGATTCTTTGAAATGGGTTTCCTGGATCAAAGACATACAGGTTTTTCAGGCTATTCCAAGTAGACAGCGTGAATTCAGACTCGAGTCCCCACAACGGTCAGCTGTGTCCAGGCTATGAATTCTCTAAGAAACTTAAGCTCCCTCTACAAGAGTTAAGTCAGGAAGTTTCTTTACATAGTGCCTTGGAGGGTAATGTATTCCTCTGATAACTCATTTTCCTGAGGATATAGCCTTGAGATGCTTTCTGGCTTTATTCAGGGTCTCAGATTACAGGTGTTCTTCTGCACTCTTGCTGCTGTGGAAGTAATCGGCCACCTTAGCACCCTGCTGTGGTCTTCTGCTTTAACCAGGATTTCCCTTGCTATCTTACAAGTTCAATTAAAGATCCCCATGGACTGTAGCCTACTAGGCTCCTCTGTCTGTGGGATTTTCCAGGCAAGAATACTGGAGTGGGTTTCCATTTCCTTCTCCAGGAGATCTTCCCAACCCAGGGATTGTACCCGGGTCTCCCTCATTGTAGGCAGATGCTTTACCGTCTGAGCCACCAGGGACATCAAAGTTCTACCAACATCATTAATACCCAACAATGTGAACTCTTTGACATCCTCTAATACCCAGTTTATGTTAAATTTCCCCTGATTGTCTCAAGTGCCTTTTATACACTAGGGTTTGTTCCATTCAGGATCAAAGCAAGGACCACCCTTTTAATTTAGTTGAAATGGTCTTTTGAGTTTCTTTTAATCTGTAATAATCTCACCCCCACAATGATTTGTTGAAGAAGTGGAGTGATTTGTCCTATAGAACATATCATATTCTAGATTTTGGCAGGTTGCTTCCTCTTTCCTCCATAATTTTTATTTTCTTGTAATTAGGTTTGGAGGCTTGATTTGAATCAGATTCAAATTTCTTGGCAAGAAAATTTAAATAGTATGATACATTTTATTGCATCATATCAGGAGGCACCTAGTATCGAGTTGCTCCATTTTTTCCCCTCCCCCTAGTTGTACCTTTAATGATACAAAAATTGATCACTGGACTTGGGTATTGTCGGCCCGATCTATCCATTTCAAAACTCCCTTCAACTTTCTCCCCTAATGATTTTGTCAGCGATGCTATCTAGATCTACTTTTTGTTGTTGTTTAGTCACTAAGTCATGTCCAACTCTGTAGTCCACCTGGCTGCTCTGTCCATGGGATTTTCCAGACAAGAATATTGAAGTGGGTTGCCATGTCCTTCTCCAGGGGATCTCCCCGATTCAGTGATTGAACCCACCTCTCCTGCATTGGCAGGCAGTTCTTTGCCACTAAGCCACCATGGAAGCCCCAGATCTATTATTAGGGAGTTTTAAAATGGTGATTTTCTAATTTTCTCAGCTGTTCTACATTTATTAATCATAATTCTTAAGAACTCTCTTTGTCATCTGTTCTGATATTCTGAAATTGGTTATTCTATTCTGGTTATTCTGAAATGCAGTCCATATAGGTAAGATGGGATAAATGCTAGATTCTAAATCAATTTTCACTATTTAAGTTGGTGTCTTGGCAACTTCCAAAGATGACCACTGAGTTTTTATCCAGGAGATAACATCTTACTTGTACTTTTGGTATATATCCTTTGAAGTCATTATTCTTTCTGATACTCAAACTGCCCGCCTTTGGCCAATGGAAGCTCCAACTTGGCTTCTGTGCCCTTTAGACAAGTTCCCAGTAGTCCTTTCTCCGGATTCATCTTGTACATTTCCGGCCCTAGACTGAGGATCATTAATTTTTTAAGGAGCTTTGGTTCTTACGTTTATGTTGCTGTGTTATCTAGCTTATTGAGCATTAGTGGTGGGAGGGCTGTGGGGGTGTCTAGAAAGAGAAGTGCCTCTCTCTGCTCCTGTGAGGGGCTTCTGTCCCTTCTCTGGCCTTTCCTCCTTTTCCACATCTAGTGTGCCCAGTGGGCGTGGGAGAACTGAGACCAGCCTGAACCTGCTTTCAGAGCCTTTATTTCAGGATTCTGAGGGCAGCCCTAATACTGAGCGTTCAGAGGTGATTTGGGGAAAACTTTGTTTGGTTGCTCTGAAAACTTTTTTTATCCTGTTTGTCTAAATCCCCTGCCCACAGGTGAACCAGTGTGTCATTGGCACTGCCCAGGCCAACAAGAAATGAAGATGGATCTAGATTGTGTGTGTGTGTGTGTGTGAGACACACGGTGGGGGGTGGGGGGTGGGGTGGTGGTGCTTTATTGGGAGGGGGCGCTGATACCTGGGCCTATCAAATAAAGAAGAGAATTTTTGTTGTTTTTAAATAAAGGTTTTATTAGCGGTTGCCCAATAAGGGGGATATTTGTCATATCCATGAAGATGGGAGCTGTGGCTCTTCTATTCTGCCAAACGTCTATTCTGCCAAACGTCAGTGTTTCACGGGGACAGGGCTTTGGCTTTTCTAACGGGTCACCCCAGAGTCAGGGTAGCCCCTCTCCCCGCTCCCGTCACTGTCCACGCCTGGGGGGTGTGCGCACCAGGTGTCCAGTCACTAGTTCCGCTTCCTCCGCCACAGGCCACCCTCGCCCGGGGCAGGAACTCGGTGAGTGCGGGAAGGTGGGAGCCCGAGTCCGGGGCGGGGCCGGCGCGCCCGCCCACAAGCTGCGGGGTTTCTCCTCCCGCTCTTTCTCTGCCTTCCCTTTCGAACCGCCGGGGCTAGCTCCGCCCGCCGCCATTGGCTGGCTCTTGGCGGCGTCACCGCCTCGGTACGAGCTCTCCTAGTCGGTGCACCCGCCTTGCCCGCGTGGGGCGGGGCGCACGGGCTAACTCCCTCGCGCCAACCGCCGAGGGCCGCCGCCCCGTCAGAGGAGGGCTGGGTCTTCCCAGGTGCCGCGCGCGCGGGAGGGGTCGCGCGTGCGCAGAGGCGCGGCGACGGAGGGCGGGGGTGGGGGCAACTAGCTCCGGGGAGGGCGGGGCCGGGGCAAAGGCGGGAGGGGGCGGGGCCCGCGGGGCGGGGGCCATGGGACGGGTGAATGGAGGGCGGGGTCGTGAACTAGAGCGCGGGGCGGGGCCCGGAGTGACCCTGAGGAGCGGGGGGCAGTTAACGGATGTGGCGCGGGGCGGGGGCCCGGCCGGTGGCCTAGCGGGGGATTCCCTCCTGCCCCGAGGGCAGGCCTCCCTCTGGAGGAAGGGGCTGCGGGGATTCCCTCTCCCGCCGGGTCCGAGAGCCCGCCCGCCCCATCCGCGAAGACGCTCCCGCTCCCTCCGCGCCCTCCAGGCCCGCTGGAGGTGAGGGAGGTGGGGTGAGGAGGTGCCCGCCCCCCCGGCTCCTCCTTCCCCCCGGCCCTCCCCTCCCTCCACCCTCCCCCCGAGCCGGTTTGTCCCTCCCCTCCCCTCCCCTCCTTCCCCCCGCCGCCTCCTCCTGCCGCTGCCGCTGCTTTGGCTGCTGCGTCATACGCCCCAGAGCCGCCGGGACGGAGGGGCTGGGCCTGGGGACCCCCCGGTCTCTGCCTGCACGCCCCCCGACGCCCAGCCGTGCCCTCCCCGCGCGGGGGTTTCACCTCAGTCTCCCACGTCTGCCTCTGCCCGGCTCCCGGCGGCCCCAGCTGTCACTGGTAAGGAGGCGGCGGGAGGCGCCCGTGGGGGGGCAGGGAGCCGGGGGTCGGCGCGCAGGGCGCGGGCGCGAGAGCCGCGCCGCCCGGGCGGCGGGTCGGGCTGGGCCGACTCAAGTCTCCTCTCGGACTCGCCGTCATGGGGAGAAGAGACCCGGACTGGGACACGCCCCCCTCCCGGGGCACTCAGTGAAGTTATCTAACCCGGGGGCAGGGAGCCCCGAATTTGAGGGTGACCTGACATAACCTAGCACCAAGATGATTGTTCTGAATGAGACACAGAGGCCCAGGAGGCAACCTTTTCCACTCTGGAAAACATCTCCCGAAACACATCTCTGGGACACAGCACCCCAATTATAATACCACTATAAACAGTGGTAGAAGGTGACAGTGGAAACTGAGTGGTAACCTTTGCCTCTGCAACCGTCGTTTCTGCTAAAATCTCAAGGCGAGGATACAACATCCCAGGGGAGCTCTGGAAGCTGGGAAACTAGAGAACTAGGTTGGTGGTGGGGTGGCGGGGACGGCTGGGAGAAGAGAGCCTGTGGTGACTCTTTTGGGAGAGCCAGAGTCAGGAAGGCCTGAAGGGGTGCCCAGTGGGTCTCCTACCCAGGTGTCTCAGGGAAATGGAGGCTGGGCACACCTGCTCAAGGTTTTTGACAGAAAAACAGGCAAAGAAAATGGGGGCTAGTTCCTCAATATTCATAACTTTCTCCTATCGTCTCATTTCTAACTAGGGCCCCCCAGGATGCAATGGCACAGCCCCCCCGGCTGAGCCGCTCTGGTGCCCCCCCACTTTGGGACCCAGCTTCCCCTGCTCCCACCTCAGGCCCTCGGCCTCGACTTTGGGAGGGTCAAGATGTGCTGGCCAGATGGACAGATGGGCTGCTATACTTGGGGACCATCAAAAAGGTGAGACCTCTGACCTGTCACCTTTTCTCATTCCCCTTATCTAGTCTGATTCCTGTTCCATCTTCTGTGCTCACCCATTCCAGGTGGACAGTGCTCGGGAGGTGTGTCTGGTTCAGTTTGAGGATGATTCCCAGTTTCTGGTTCTATGGAAAGACATTAGCCCTGGTGAGAAGCCTGAGAGTGTGGATCCCATGGAAGAGAAGCCTGGCATGGGGGACAGAAAGGGGCTGGAGGACAAAGCCCTCTGACACTCTGTTCTCTCACAGCGGCCCTCCCTGGGGAGGAGCTCCTCTGCTGTGTATGTCGCTCTGAGACTGTGGTCCCTGGGAACCGGCTGGTCAGCTGTGAGAAGTGTCGCCATGGTGGGTGAGAGGGCAGGAAACCTGAATGGTCCAGCTTGCCCTGGGTCTGCCAGGGTGCCTCTGACCCTTCCCTCCAGCACTGGTCCTTATACTACCTGTCCTGGTCTGAGTGCCCAAGCCACTGCTCTGGTCAGTCTCCACAAGCCTGTAACCTCACTCCCTTCCAGCACAGGAGAGGCAGCCTTGGGATGGGATGTATGAGCTCTGCGGGCAGAGGGTGTGAGTGAGCAAAAGTCTCTCAGTTGTGTCTGACTTTGCCACGACATGAACCGTACAGTCCATGGAGTTCTCCAGGCCAGGAGGCTGGAGTGGGTAGTCTTTCCCTTTTCCAGGGGGTCTTGCCCAGTTAGGGATCAAACCCAGGTTTCCCACATTGCAGGTGGAACCTTTACTAGCTGAGTCACAAGGGAAGCCCAAGAATACTGGAGTGTGTAGCCTCTCCCTTCTCCAGGGGATCTTCCTGACTCGGGAATCGTACTGGGGTCTCCTGCACTGCAGGTGTTCTTTACCAACTGAGCTATCAGGGAAACCGTGAATGCAGGCAGAGGGTAGTTCCAGTATAGCCTTTTCTAACCATTTGATCTTAGGCAAGTCCCTAAACCTTTAAGAATCACAGCTGCCTCACCTTTTAAAATAAAGGTAATACGCCCACCCCAGTAGGACCATGGTCAAGAACAAAATGAGATGGGGGTAAGACTCTTGTCCCAATACCTAGTGCACACAGGCATACAATGCAATAAGTGGTCTACTGTCAATATTCTCATTATTCAGCTTATCACCAGGACTGCCACGTTCCAAGGGCCCCAGCCCCCGGAGAGGGAGAGGGCGCATCCTGGGTCTGCCGCCAGTGCGTCTTTGCCATCGCCACCAAGGTAAGGGCCCCTCCCTGTGGGCCCTCCCACCCCCAGCCTCTCCTGAGCCCTTCCTTCCCCCACCCCTGAGGCCACCTGTCTGTTCCACCCACAGAGGGGGGGTGCGCTGAAGAAGGGCCCCTACGCCCGGGCCATGCTGGGCATGAAGCTCTCCCTGCCGTATGGACTGAAGGGGTTGGACTGGGACGCTGGGCATCTGAGCAACCGGCAGCAGAGCTACTGTTACTGTGGTGGCCCTGGGGAGTGAGTAGTGAGGGGCGGGGGTTAGGGAACAAGTGACGGGGGTGGGAACAAAGGAGAATGGCAGGGTGGCGGGGTGCTGAAGGGGCAGGAGAGTGGTGAGCAGGGTTTGGGGCAGTTAAGGAGGACGTGTCTGGGGGTCACTGGTCCCGTTTCCCTTCAGGTGGAACCTGAAGATGCTGCAGTGCCGGAGCTGCCTGCAGTGGTTCCACGAGGCCTGCACCCAGTGTCTGAGCAAGCCCCTCCTTTACGGGGACAGGTGAGCCTGGGCAGACCCTCCAGGAGCTCTGCCCCCCCACCCCCATCCCAGACCAGGTGTCTTCCTGACCTCTGAAACCTTGCTTACTGGTTAGCCCCATCGTTGCTCGGAACACCCCCCCTCCCCCATGGGCAGGTGTAGTTTCCTGTAAAAGGTGTATTCTGTTTCTCTTGCCTACGTCCAGGTTCTATGAGTTTGAGTGCTGTGTGTGTCGGGGGGGCCCTGAGAAGGTCCGGAGGCTACAGCTTCGCTGGTGAGCTGGATATGGGGCATGACCTCAGCACCACTCCTCTCTCCGCACCCCCAGTTTTTCACTTTGCAGGCCCCAGACCCCTACTTGGGGGATACCCCTGCCTGCCCCCCAGCTTTTGTAATGCTTCCACCACCTTGACAAGTCAGTGTTTCTCCAGGGTGGATGTGGCGCATCTTGTCCTCTACCACCTCAGTGTTTGCTGTAAGAAAAAATACTTTGATTTTGACCGTGAGATCCTCCCCTTCACCTCTGAGAATTGGGACAGTTTGCTCCTTGGAGAGGTAAGGGGTGGTGAACCTCTGGGGGTCAGGGTGGACCAGGGAGATGTGGGAAAATGGGGGAGGGGATCACTGCTCTCCTGACCCCATTTCCTATCCCCTCCCCCAGCTCTCAGAAACCCCCAAGGGAGAGCGGTCTTCCAAGCTCCTCTCTGCTCTTAACAGCCACAAGGACCGGTGAGTCCCAGGGAGGCTCAGGAGATGGAGACATGGCTATGCAGCCTGAGAGGGAGGGGCTGCAGCCCATCTGGAAGATCCCCTCGGAAAAGGACTAACAGCATGAGAGGGTCCCTTTTCTCCAGCACTGACCCTGTATCATTTCTCTCCTCATCCCAGTTTCATTTCAGGGAGGGAGATTAAGAAGAGGAAATGCTTGTTTGGTCTCCATGCTCGGATCCCTCCCCCTGTGGAGCCCCCTCCTGGAGACGGAGCCCCCACCAGGTCACTGGTCCAGGGGGGATGGGGAAGTTTTCAGGGTGTATGTATGGAAACAGGGAGGTCTTTGGGGTGTCCGGGAGGGGGCTGGGGGGATAAGGAGGCCTCTTACAGCTTCCCTTCAGGGCAGGGCCCTGGGGGAGGGGTCTCACGTCCCCTGGGGAAGCGCCGGAGGCCGGAGCCAGAGCCCCTGAGGAGGAGGCAGAAGGGGAAAATGGAGGAGCTGGGGCCACCCTCAGCAGTGCGCAACCAGCCCGAGCCCCAGGAGCAGAGGGAGCGGGCTCGTCTGCAGAGGGCACTGCAGGTACAAGGGCAGGGGCAGCCGTGGGCACATGGTGGTGTGGGAAGGAGTCAAGGACGTGCTCTCAGTCCTCTGCTCCTTCTAGGCCTCAGCATCTCCACCACCCTCCAGCCCTAACCAGAGCTACCAGGGCAGCAGCGGCTACAACTTCCGGCCCACAGATGCCCGCTGCCTGCCCAGGTCAGTGCGCTGTCTCCCTCCAACCAGACACACTCCCTCGGAGCCTCTCTTCGAATTGCTTGCAATCTTCTGGATTTCCTCAGCCAAAATTCTTTTCCCTCTCCCCTTTGGCTGCCCACTTCTTTACCTAGAGACTTTGAGAACCAGTGTCTGCTCCCCAGTATATAGGGATGGGTTCCTTGAGGATAGTGTTTGCACTCTGCCCTTCGCAGGGGTAGAGGGTCCTATTCCCCTGCTTTGGGTCCTGACTTTCTTCCTTTCCAACCCCAGCAGTCCCATCCGGATGTTCGCTTCCTTCCACCCTTCTGCCAGCACCGCAGGGACCTCTGGGGATGGTGAACCCCCAGACAGGTGAGATTCTATTCCTTTACCTTTATTCCTGTGATACCTCTGTACTCTTAATATCCTTGGTCTCGTACACCTTTTTGTTGTTGTTGTTCCTCTGATCCCCACACGGCCTCCATTTCTGGTCAGTCTTTATCTCCATCTGGACTGACAGTTGCTTTCTCTTCCTAGGTCACCCCTGGAACTTCACATTGGTTTCCCCACAGACCTCCCTAAAAGTGCCCCCCACTCGATGACTGCCTCATCTTCCTCAGTCCCAGCCCCCTCCCCAGGTGTTCCCAGACGCTCAGCACCCCCTTCTCCCCTGTGCCGTAGTTTGTCTCCTGGGGCCGGGGGTGGAGTCCGAGGTGGGGTCGGCTACCTGTCCCGCGGGGACCCCGTCCGGGTCCTTGCTCGAAGAGTGCGGCCTGATGGCTCTGTGCAGTACCTGGTTGAGTGGGGAGGTGGGGGCATCTTCTGAACAGCCTGCCTCTGCCCGACTGCCCACTGACACACACCGGCACTTTCATACCCTGACCTCTGACCTCACCTACAGCTGGGATGTACCTGGGGCACTAGGGGGGTACTTCCCTCCACTGTCCAGGCTGGAATCCAGGTCGGGGGTTGGGGAAGAGGCTCGCTCTCCTCTACTCCCTTCACGGTTCCTGACCCTTCCCCCCAACCATTCCCTCATTTCCTTTGATGTTATTTTGTTACAGCTTTTTAAATATTTTTTAAAATTATTTAACCCCTGGGGACGGAGACTGAGGAAGGGAGGAGAACAGATCCTGGGCTCTGTATCATTGAAATAAAGATAAATAAACAAACTTAGCACCCCCGAGTCATTCTAAAAAATGAGAAGAAAGGGACTAGAAGCACTTCCAATCTTCCCAACCAAATTCACGTTTTGACAAGGAAAAAGGGAAATGGAAGAGAGAACTAAAAATGGGATTTATTAAGAGTCCAGTCATCACAAGGTAGGAGCGTTGACATTTATGAGGGAAACCCTGGCAGAAACGAAGGTTCATCCCAGTGGCGTTGCGCTGGAGTCAGGAACCGACTCTGTAACCTGGCGCACCCACTGCAGGTATGGGGAGTTCCCCTGCTGCACAGGCAATGCAATCACCTCGGCCACTTCATAAGGGTGCACAGACCTGTGGGAACGATGGGGGATCAAAGACTTACCCAAAGGAGTCCATCCCCTCAGACTGCCCAGGAAGGCTCACCCCACAGGATACACCCTCACCTCTACCCATGTCAAAGTTCTCACCGAACAAAATCTGTCAGAGCTGGAACCAAGGAACTTTGGGTTTTGATCATCTGAGGGGTGAAGACAAACATGGCTGAATCGGGGGGTGAAGTTGATTTCAGGATCTCGGATGAGGGATAGGGGTCAAAGTAAATGGTCAGGGAAATAAGTTTTTGTCGGGTAGGAAACATTTCTCACCATCAGCACTTCACTGTCCTCTTCAATCTTTCCTTTCCACTCATAGCTGAAAAGGTCAGGGAGAGAGTGTTGTGTGAGCAAAGATTTCCCTCAAGATAAAAGACTGCCAGTCAGCCCTTTGAGTTAGGTTAACCCCCAACCCCTAATTAACTCACATGGATGTAATCTGAGGGACGAGGTTGACGCAGGCTGCTAGGCGCTTCTCCACCACAGCCCTGAAGGTGAAGAGAGCACCGTTTAAAGGCCCCATGACCCGGATTTTTGCACTGGCAGCCCAGAGACAGTCAGGAAGCAGCGGGAGGTGCTCCCCCAACTCTCCCTTCATAAGCACCTTTCCTCACTTCACACTGAAGTCCCCACCTGGCGATCTCCTTGGCGACCTTCTCGTTGGGGCAGGTGACAAAGGCCGCAGAGACCGAGCCGGGGACATAGGCGGAGCCCGAGGCCGACGAGGGCTGGGCCGGGGGACTTCCTGAAGCCATAGACAGCAGGGCTCGGGGTAACAACAGAAGGCGGGAGGCTACAGGCAGCAGAGTCGGCATCCAAAGAAGCGACAGGAGCAGAGCGGCCTGAGAACAGGAGGTGAATTCGGTGTCTCATAAATACCCCAAGAAATTGCACCCCGGGAACACTTCGCTTGGAGAGACACTCAGGCCCTCCCTCTTTTGCATCCCGAAGGAAAACATTCCTGAAACCAAGAGAAGCTTGTAAAATTTAAGGCAAAGACTCGGTTTTCACTCTCTCCTCGGAAGCCAACCTCTGGGTTTTGGGGTACGGGTCATGGGCGAAGCTTCGAGGACCGGAAGGGGCGGGGCCGGTCACTCACCCCTCCGCCGAGCAGGAATGCGGGAGCCCGACCCCGCCTCATGCAGCCTATTTTGGTAGAGGAGGGTTGAATATCAGAGACCACACGTTACGCGGAGAAAGAACCCCATAGCCAGGCAGAGCGGCCTCTTACCTGGGCAGCAGCCACGTGATAAGAAAACAGCGCAGACCACGTGACAGTAGAAGCCGGACCACCCTAACCTCCAGAGCTGGCCAATCCTTGCCCCCACGTGGCCCGATTTGTCCCGCCTCCGGGGGCGGGAGGGGCGAAGAAGGATCCAACCAATCAACACCCGGATCTGCAGACGTGCACGGAAATGGAGCGCCCGTTTCCGTGTAAACCGGAAACGGCCAATTGCTGGCTGAGGAGAGCCGCAGCGGCGGTCCACTGTCACGTGAGGGGGCGGGTCTCCTCAGGCAGTGGTACCTCAATGAACTACGCGAAGAGACCAATCGTGGGGCAGCCCCGCAGGCCACATGATGAGAGCCCAGGCGCTGGGAAAGGGGGGGCTGGAGACCCCGCAGAGTCGATGCGTCAGGTTGTGGAGTGGAGGCTCATCCTTAAACCCCGGAATGTGCCTAGTAGCAGCCCCTATACTGTTCCTGAGGCCTTAAGGAGTGACAGGGTCTTAGGAGATTGAACCTCCGGGCGTGGGGGGGAGGTGAAGAGAGCGCCCCCTGCCATTTTGGTTAGGACTGACTGGTTCTTGATTGGGGAATGCACAAGTATAATCTGAGAAACCAACTGTCTCTGGTTATAGGGGGAAGTGATTACGCAGGCAGGGCATGGCAAGACCACGGCTAGGTGGAAAGATGTATTTTAAAAGAACGGAGTAAGACCCTGTAAGTGGGATAGACAGTGATTAAAATGGGGCGCCTCAGGCTTAACTGAAGCCTCAAAACTGCAGGCAGACTTGTGAATCGATAGAGGTGGTGGGGGAGAGGAGGGCCGCAGGTTGGGGGTATGAAGAAGACACCAGGAAGTAGTGATGGACCTTTTGTCCCTTACCCCCTTCCTATTTCACTCTCTGGGTCAGGTCTACCTCTCAGCCTTGGGTCTCCTTCCCTTAACCCATCCCCCTAGGAGCCAGGACCTGCCCTACATAACTTCCCTGGGGCCCAAGCACATCCTGTGACCCAAAAATGGAGGGGCCAATGAGAGGAGAAATAGGTGGGAGGAGGCAGGGAGAAAAAGGCTCTGCCACTTTCCCTACCCAGTATTCCCCTTCCTTCCTGGGTCTGGGGTCTCTGGTCTGCTGGGTGGGTATAACTGGGCGTTTCCCAGGCTGAATTCTTTCATACCTACCACTCTGGGGTTGGAGGTCTCCCTGAGATCTCTGTCTTTGGAGTTTGTCTCTGAGGGATCTTTATGGGGTCTTTTGGTATTTGTATCTTTTTTAGGACTGAGTGTCTTTGTTTTTTGTTTGCGGGGGGGGGAGGTTTCTGGGTCTGCAGTCACCCTCTCTGAGGTATTAAAAATTCGTTTTTTTATGTATTTGGGATCTCTGAGTTCATCTCTGGGCTAGGAGGGTGTTGTCTTCTGCCCCTCACCCCCCCAACCAAGGTCTGGAGTTCCTTTGTCTTTGAGTTATCAGCCTCTGAGTCTGCAGTTTCTTTTCTCTGAGATCTAAGTCTGGGGTCTCTGATATCTCTCAGTGGGTCTGAGTTCTCAAAGACCTAATTTCAGGTCTGGATTCTTTATGAGTCTGGTCTCATCTTTTCCTTTGAGTCTAGGTCTTAGATCTCAGTCCCTGAAATTAGTTTAAGTCTGGTGTATTAAGATTTCTGTGGCTATGAAGAACCTTTTTGAGACTGAATGCTCAGATTTTGACCTTTGACCCATCTTGGGAGGGTGGTCTGGGGTCTGTTTTCTGAGATTGCGGCCTCTTTTCCTCTAGACTTAAGGGTTTGCGCCTCAGATTATCCCCTGCGCCAACCCCCCCCCCCCCCCGCCCACCTCCGGGTGGCAAGGTATCTTTGTGGGTCTGGAGCCTCCCGATATCAGGGTCTGGGGGCTGCATCTTTAGAACCGCTCTCTCTTTCTGGAGTCTCTTTCTCTCTTTTTTGAGTCGGGGTCTCTCCCTCCCTGGTTCTCACTGAGTAGGGGTGGGGGCTGCAGGGACTCTCTCTCCTCCTCCTCCTGCTCTCCTCTCGCTCGCTCCCCCGCCCCCCTCTCTCTCTCTCTCTCTCTCTCTCTCTCTCTCCCGGCTGCCGCTGCTGCCGTTGGCTCCTCTTCTCCTCCTCCTCCTCTCTCTCCTCCTCTCTGCCTCTCTCCGCTCCTCTCTCCTCCTCTCTCCTCCTCCTCCTCCTCCACCTCCTCCTCCTTCTCCCCCTCTCTCTCCCCCTCTTTCTCTCTTCTCTTTCTCCCCCGGCCCCCCCGCCCCCTCCCCCCCAGGCCTGATGAGCAGGTCTCGCGCCTCCATCCATCGGGGGAGCATCCCCGCGATGTCCTATGCCCCCTTCAGAGGTACGGTGGTGAGGGGAGGGGGAGGACCAGTTGGGGGGGAGAAGGGGGGAGGGGCGGGGTGGGGGGGGGCTGGGCAGAGCTGGGGCCAGGGAGGGGAGAAGCTGAAATGGAAGGAGAGAGGAAGGCAGGGATGGGAGCAATGGGGAAGGAGGTACTGGAGGATAGGTGTAAATAAGGACCGGAGGGGCCAAGAAACAGGCCTTGAAGGGGGCTGAGGGGAAAACGATGAAGGGGAAAGAGATCGCCAGAGAAGGTGGGAAGATAGAAGGGTAGGATTGGGGGAAGAGCTGCAGAAATAATTTAGAGGTGGGAGCTGAGAGATGAGGAAAATATCAAGAAAATATAAGGACAGAGTCTTAGGAGAGGGGCTAGGAGGGGAAAATGAAGAAAATTAAAACATAGGGGTGAAAAAAGCAGCCAAGAAGATGGGGGGTAGGATCTGGTGGGGTCTCAGAGTATGGTAGGGGGTAGAAAAAGACAGGAGATGGAAGGAGAGGAGAAGGGGCCAGATGGAGAGAGAGGGAGGCAGTGGTGGGGGGGGGGGGGGGAGGAATGAAGGGTCCAGATGGAGGGAAGAGAGGAGAGAGGATGGGGAATGGGTTTGGGGGAGGAGGGACCAGGGCAGGGGGAGGGCCAAATTAGGTATGTGTTTATTGGGGGGGAGGGGGGCAATACAAGTAAAACTGAGTGCTGGGAGTAGGGGGCAGATGAAGACCCTGCCCCAGACTCAGGCCCTCCTTAAGGCCCTTGAGCATTGAAACGTAATCCCTGGGGTCTTATCCACTTCCTTCACTTCACCACTTTCACCCCTCCCCCACCTCCAGTCCTTATTTCCATTCCCCCTCCCTCCTCTGGTGTCCATCACCTATATCTTTCCCCACATACGGTGTCCGTTCCTTATATGCGTCCCCCTTCTGTCCTTCCCCCTCTATCAGTCCCTTCTCTGGTGTCCCTTCTCTCTCTCCCTCTCTTCTGCCTGGTAGTCCTTTATATCTTTACCACCTCTTCACCCCCTCCTTCTTAACCCCCTTGTCCTAGTGTCCCTGTTCTGTCCCCTTCATTTCCTTTGGGCCCTTCTGGTGTATTCCCTTTTCCCTAAAGATTTACCATCATCTCTGACTCTTACTCTCTTAGGTCCATTTCTGTTATTTCTTCTCCACCCCATCCCTTCTTCCCCACCCCATTCCCTATCTTATCACCACAAGTCTGTGCCTACTTACTTTCCACTAAGACCCCATCTCTTATCACCCATTCCTCTTCTCTTGTCTCCTCTCCTTCCTGGGCTGTTGGAGATTTGGGGAGCAAAGACACCAGTTTTGACGGTTGGAACAGGACCTACAAGAGATCCCCATCTGAGCCCCATGGAATTGTTTATCCTAGTAAATCTTTCTCCTTTCTTAACTGTGTCCCTTTGTCTCTTGCATCCGCCTCCCAGAATCATCCTAAGTCCAGGCAATGTTTGTGTATGTGTGTTATTTCCAGAGTTGTTCCTAAGTGAAGTTCCCCGTGTCCTTCCCCACTCCCAGGAGGAGGGTGTCCCCTGAAGTATAACTGTCCTCCCTGTGGTTGCTGTCTGACCCAGTCCCTCCTATAATGATGATGTGAATCAACAGATGTCCCCTCTGGGAGTCCTCAGGGTCTGACTGCAGTGGGCATGTTTCCTGCAGTATCTGCAGTCTCAGAGCCTAGGTTTTGGTGATCTCTTTATCTTTGGTGTCTCTGAGGTGGCACTGACACAGAGTTTCAAGAGTATTGGGGTTTTTAGATACCTGTGTTCAAGGAGTTCACCTCTGTCTCTGACCTGCAGATTGGGTAAATTTGAACCATGTTTACAGACAGAAAGGGGCTAGATTTTTTAACAGTCTGCTACTCATAGCTTTTAGTTGGAATGAAGTTCACTGGCCAGTTCTTTTCCTGCAATATTCCCATGATTAATTATACTGGAAAGGTAACGGGATTTGATCTTTTTTCCTCTAAACTCTCTGTCACCCTCTTCCTTAAGCTTATTTTCTATCACATTGATGTCATCAATTTTATTTCTCTCTGACTTCTATAGGGCTTGCCCACTATGTCCCTGTGATGGTGTGTAGCATTGGGGTTTAAAGGAGAGGCACTTTGCATGCACATGGGTGTGGAAGAACAGCAAAGTCAGGGGAGGGGTGACCCTTAGTCTACTACTATTGGAAGTTTTGTCCCCATCCCCAGCCTCTATGTCACAGGCTTGGATCTTTCATTCTTCCCTCCCCTCTTCCTTCCTCAGGCTTCACACGGTGCCTTGGGGAGGTTCCTACTTGAGGAGTTGGCTTCCATCCTGTCCATGGAGACTGGGGACACGGGGTAGGGGGACAGTATTGAATCTTTGACCTCTGGGCATGGAGTAGGGGAAGAGATCAACTCAGTATTCATGCAAACAAGGGCATATTTCCTGCCTGCTCAGTCCCCAACCCCTCCACAGCCAGATACCAACAAGACCCATCCTTCCTCTACCACCAGCAGAACCAGCTCTTTCCCTGAAGGATAAGCAGGGTTAGGCTGGGGAGGAGGGAGTGAAGGAAAGAGGAGAGGCAGGAGAGGAGGCCCTCATAGGATTCTGACCCTGGGAACAAGTAAGCTCCTCACTCCCTCTCTTTTCTAGATATTTAGCTTTTAGTCTCATGACCCAAATGTTCCTATATCCCCATCCTTCTTCCCACAGCTCTGTAGGCTTCCTTACTCTCTTGCAGATGGGTGGGGTCACCTTCCAAATCCTTGTCTTCTGCAGCTATCTGGTTGCCCTCCCTCTTCCCAGACACTTGCCACCAACCTCCCTGTATTTTTCTTCTGCCAGTTTTGTTGGACCCTCAGCCTTTTGATTTTTCAGAAGTGGATGGAGAGCTCCTTCCCTTCTCTGCCTCCAAACTTGTACTCTCTCTGTCAGGATATCATTCCCCTCTGAACCACTCCTCTGTATTTCTTCTGCCAAGTCTACTGAGCCCCTCAGCTCCCACCGCCCCAGCCAGAGAAGCTTATCTTCTGTTCCTCTAAAGTTTCCAGGGGCCTCACCCCCTTCTATGATCTCAAGGTGGGTGGGGGTCCCTTGTCCCTCTTTATGGATTCTTCTTCTATCCCCTGAATGCATAGAGCTTCCCTTACAGTTTCTGTGTATCTCTGCCCCCTAGATGTACGGGGACCCCCTATGCACCGAACCCAATACGTTCACTCCCCGTATGATCGTCCTGGTTGGAACCCTCGGTTCTGCATCATCTCGGGGAACCAGCTTCTCATGCTGGATGAGGACGAGGTGAGCAGGGTGGGAAGGCTGGGAAGAGACCTCTGGGTAGCATGGGAAAATGTGAGAGAAGGATGGGAGAATCCTCATTTGCAAAGGGATGCGAGGCACAGAGATGGCAAAGAGAAAGACACTGGCAAGTGGTGGGAGGAGGGTGGCCTTGAAACTTGGGTTGAGATGTCAGAAGGGGCAGGGGTTCTCTCCCTTTGGCCCGAGGGGTCTTTGAGGGCCATGTGCAGTGATGGGGAGGAGTCGTGGTTCTAAAGATTTGGGGATGCTTTCTGTTTTCACCCTGCTCCTATTGTGGGATAGGTTAGGCTAGGAAAGGGAAACAAAAGGGTTTGGAGGAGGGTGAAGACACAGGGATCACTTTGGAGGGAACATCTCCCTCTCCTCTCCCCATACTGAGCAAGCCTCATCACTGACCACTCCCCATCCTTTCCCTGGCATGGGGCAGAGTGCATGAACTCAGAGTGGGGTCTCTGAGGGAACTAGGAAGGGGCTACAGGGTACAAGGAGAGATAATAGACAGCAGTAGGTCTGGGCCTGGATGGTGGTGAAGACAGGGAAGCCTGAGATCAGGGTTTAGAGAGATGCTGAGAGGGCTTTCGCCAGGGACACAGGGAAGGAATATGAGGGAAGAGACGCCTGGGGGGTGAGGGGAACTGGGAATATGGGAAGTTGTCTAAAGGAGTCAGAGTGGGATAGAGGCAAGGAACAGCTGAAGTGGAAGATGTGAAATGAACCGAACATCCTCGTGGGGGGAGGCAGCCGTGCAGTCTGCCTGTGATTAGAGAGCCAGGGGTTGTGGGCTCTGATCCTGGAGCCGGGTCAGCAGTAGAGCATCCATCAGAGGAAACAGAAGATGTGACTATGAAGAAAGGATCCCCAGAGGTGTGGTTCAGGCGGTGGGGGGTGATTTAGGTAAGCTTTAGAGAGTGATAGGATAACCTGCAAGACCAGAGAGGTGGTAAGAGATATGTCCCAAAAACTGTCAGGAAGGGTGTAGTGAGGCAGGGTTAGAGCTGGAGTTGAGGTTAACCAGAGTTTCGAGGAATCTGGGGGGCAAGTGAGTGTGGAGATGCCTGGGTAGAGAGCTTCCCAGGCACAGAGTCAAGTTGAAGCTTTGTCCAGGGAGGACATGGTGACTCAAGGGAAAGGTGGTTTGGGGAGTTCAAGTGTTAGGCACTGGGGGCCAATTTGAATGGTCATTGTCGTGGCCAAGCATTTGGGGTCTGTAGGATGAATGGGGGAAACTAGAGACTGAGTGAGAATGAAGAGGTTGGACAGTGGGTGGGAGAATGAAGGAATGAAAGAGATGGGGACAGACAGGTCCAGAGGACCGGTGGCTAGAAACTGAGGTCGGAAGGGTGTGGAGGGGGTCCTGGAATGGCAGAGTGCAGGGCCACAGGGAACTGGAATTGGCTGGGCTGTGGAGCCCAGGCTGGGACTAGTGGGGTGGGTGGTTCTTGAAGGGGTGGAGATTGGCGGGGTGGAGATGGGAAGGTTAGGAAGGAGGTGGCCAGGGAGAATTGGGGATGAGGCTTAGGGAGAGGTAATGGCTAAAGGGAGGTGAGCCAGGCTGAAGGGGGGGCCATGAAAGGTGCGGGGGAAGGTGACCAGGCCCTCTAGGGGGTGGGGAGGTTGGGTCCCATTCTGGCCGCAAGCCTGGCCGTGGGAGGGAGACAAGCTGTGGATCCTGATTATAAATGCAGCTTCTGCTACCCCCGTGACAGCCACGGAGGGAGGGAAGGGGGTGAGGGCGGTGGGAGGTTGGGAGGAAAACAGGGAGAAGGGAGGAACTGAAGGTCAAGGGGAAAGTGGATTTGGGGAGCAGCAGAGACCAGAGTGGTTCCGGGGGTTCCCTGGAGGGTGTTTCAGAAGACATGGTGCAAGAAAGGAGGGTGGGACGGGAGGGGATGAGGGAGCAGACTCGGAGAGAGAAGGCAATGAGAAATCCACTCACCCCGAGACACTTAAGAGTACGGAGGGGCAGGGGCAGGTGGTCAGGCTGGTGGGAAGGGAGGCTCATCCTCCTCGGGTGGGGAAGAGAAAGAAGAGGGACGGCCTGGGCCCGCGAGGTCTGACGCGCGCCCCCCCCCCCCCCCACCGCATCCCCTAGATACACCCCCTTCTGATCCGGGACCGGAGGAGCGAGTCCAGTCGCAACAAACTGCTGAGACGCACGGTCTCCGTGCCGGTGGAGGGGCGGCCCCACGGCGAGCATGGTACGGCGGCCGAGCAGGCTCTCGTGCCCCGGACAGGCGCGGGGAGGGGGCTGCGGGGGCCTGGGTGCAGGGGAGGGGGCGTCCGGGGCCGGGAGGGGGCGGAGACGAAGTCTCGCACCGAGTGGGAGCCCGGGCGGAGCCGGCGCCCTCCTCTGGGGTCTGAGCGGGACGCAGGCTTTGGGTGAGAGGCCTCAGCGGTCCTCGCTGTTTCGCTCTCTTTTTCCTCTCCAGCAGCGAAGTTTGACTGTTTCCCCGGTGCTTGTAAAAATAGTCTCCTTAGATCTTTCGCTTCCTGTCCGAGTGTGGCTGCTCCTGCCCCTCCCCGGCCTGGGTCTGGGATCTTGGAGAGAATGACCTAGTTCCCGCCCTGCCCCCAGACCTCTGCCCCACCCCCCACTCTCCTGATTCTTCTCCCAGACCTTCTGGCCTGTGGACCCTCCCTCTTGCCCCTTTTCCTTTTCTCATCAGCTGTTTTTATTTTCTGCAATTCTGTCACCCTCTTCCGCTTTCCTCCCCGATATCTCTTATTTTCTCTATCGCTCTTGGGTCGTCTGCCTCTCCCCTCTGCGGGGAACTCCCGTCAGACCCCCATCTCATCTCCTTTCTGTCTGTCTGTGGAGCTATGTGCTCAGTCTGTCTCTCCAACTCTCCCTCTCTCCATCTGTCTCTTCCCCTCCCTCCCTCTTTCTGCCCCCCCTCCACCCCCCTCTTTAGTCATTTAAAAAAAGATTTTTGTCTTCCTGAGAAGTTCGCTTAAAAGGTTTCCATGGGAACAGTGAGGGGAGATGAAGGCAGAGAACCGAGATCTGCAGCCAAGGTGCAGAGAGACACCCTCAGCCCCCAGAAACCCCCTTGTCACTGCCCCCTACACTGTGTCCCCCTTCCAGGACAAAGGGTCCAGGTCCTTCATCCCCTCAACCCCTGGTGACCCCTTTATTCTACCAACAGCCCCCCCCCTCCCCTCAGGGATCCAGGCTTCCAGTTTCTCTTCCTTAGAGCCACTGGCCTGTCTCCATCCCTTGGCTCCCTTCAGCCCTCTCTGATAGGCTCAAGCCTTACTGCTCTTGGGGGCCAACTCTGGGACCCTGGGTGGATCGCTGGCCAGGGGTGTGTGTCATTGTCATGGAAACTTCTGACCATGAGGGCGTGTGGGTAGCACATTTCTGTGAGGCAAAGCCAGGTGGAGCTGCTGGTGGTGGTGGAATGTGTATAGCGAATGTGTGTGATGTCTGTCACATCTGTGTGTGTGTGAGAGTCAGTCATGTCCATGCCTGGGAAAGGTTTGTGTCCATGTGTGCATACCTGTGTGTCCAGGCAGGAATGGTCACATGCTCATGGGGCATGTTTATTATATATCTGGTGGTGGGCGTCTCTGCCCACATATTCCCCTTCTATCTTCTTACTGTCACTCCTCAGGGTCTGGGGTCTCTCTTGTGGGTCTCCTGTGTGTTAGGGAGGAGGGCACTAATGTATGTTTGGAATTGGGGATGGTGTGTGGAGGTGTTTGTGTCGGAAGTTCAGTCGGGGCTGGGAGGGGGTCCAGGGGTATATATATTTGGGGGGAGTGTTTAGTGAAAGAGTTGATGGCTGGTGAACGTTTGGGGTTCTCAGAGGGGCGTGGAATGTGTAAAGGGAGTGGAGAATGTGCAAGGAACCTAGAAGTTTAGGGACCCTTGGGGGCCTGGGTCCGAGAAGGTCTGTGCAGAGGCTGTGGACTCTCGAGCCCAGGAGAGGTCGCCGGACCTTCAAGGGGCATCGGCATTCAGGGCTCCTCCTCTCCTGGGTGGAGCCGCCGCCCCTCATTCCCTCCATGGTTTCGTTGGGGGGTCCAGCTCAGGAGGGAATGGTGGGAGGCCCGGTTGGTTTGGGGGGTCCCTTCGCCCCCCTCCCGCATCTCTCTCGCGCTGTCTCCGGGCGACGGGGCTCGTGACAGAGGCGGCCACGGCAGCAGCGGTCGCCTAGCAACGGCGGCGGGGCCCGGGCAACGGCGGCAGCGGCGGGAGCGGCGGCGGAGGGAGCCGTTCCCGCGGCCGTCACCGCACGGCCGTCCCGGCCGTCCCGGGCCCCGCCGCCGCCCCCACCGCGCCGGGCGGCGCGAGCCGGGCCGCGCCGCCCCCTCTCCCGCCGCACCCGCCCCTCCCCCGTCGGGGACACCCCCGACCCCCCCGGGGGGCGGTGCGAGGTAAGGGCGGGGCCGGGCGGACGAGGAGCGCGTGGGGGGCACCGCGCTCGTGGGGGGCGCCGCGCTCGTGGGGGCGCGCGTGTGCGTGGGCGCGGGGAGGGGGTGGGGAGGCCGCGGTGGCGGCGGCGGCGGCAGCTGCTCCCTCCGCATGTTCTCGCTGCATCTCCCGAGTGGGGGGAGTTATGGTAACTGGTGGGGGGGAGCAGCGGAGGTGGGGGGTCGGAGACTGGCCTCGTGGGGCCAGTCTCCGGAGCGCGCGGGGGCGGCCGGTGTAGGGTGGTCTTGGAGCCCCTCGGTGGAGGCGGCAGCTCTAGTGTCCGCGTGTGGTCGGTGTCCAGGCTTGTGTCCCCTGTGTTAGTGCCATGTGCACACGGGGGCCCGTTCCTCGCGTACACATGTGCAGCCAGCCTTTTGCAGCCTGTCCTGCCCTCGCCTGCCTCGGCTTGCTTCCTACCTAGGGCTCTGCTAGGCTGGCCGCGGCTTGGGGGCAGCTCTTGGCTGTACCGGTCCCTGTCACCTCTGACCCTGAGAATGCACGTCCCTGGCAGGGCTCATCTTCTGTCAGCCTCCTGTGTGTGGGGATGTGTGGCTGCATGAGAAGGATTTCTGTGTCCCTGGTGGCAGGTGTGTGTCTTTGCATGTGTGTTCCATCCCTGGCCTGGGTATCTGTGTCAGTCCCAGCATGAGTGTCCAGGGCGTGTCTGGATGTGGGTGGTATGCAAGTGGGGGGAGAGAGTAAGTGTGTGGAGTGTGTTCTTTGGAATCCTACCGTGTATGAAACACCTTTGGGCTAGCAGGTGTGAGCCCCTGCTCTGTTAGGGAGTGGGGACAGGAAAGCTAGCTGAAAAGGGAAAGAGTGGGGTAAAGAGGAAAAGCGGGGAGTTGGGGGAGAGGAGGACTGAGTGAGGCTTGGTGAGGGGAGAGGCAGGAGAGGGAATGGCTGAAGAGGGCTTGGGCAGGTGGGACTTCGTGGAGTCAGGTTGAGAAGAGAGAGGAGGTGGGGAACTGGTTGGAGCTGATGGAGAAGGGGCCTGGAAGTGGGGAGGCAGCGCAGGGGCAAGAGAGAGTCAGGCCTTCCGTGAAGTGATCACTGAGAGGAGAGCGGCAGCCGGGCTTGTGGCTTGTGTAGGCCGTGTAGTGTAGGATCAGGCTTGGCTGGCTCAGGAGAGGCCATCCTAGAGGCCGGCTCCCAGTGAGGCCTGGCGCAGCAGGACCTGCTGATAGAGGTGCCCATTTCCAGCCCAGAGTTTTGCCCCCCCCCCCCCCCACCCATTCCTCTGCTCTCTCTCCAGCTCTGTTCCTCCACCTGCTTTGGCAGCCTTCCTCTGGGGCTCCCCTTGAGAGCTGCCAGCCGGGTGTGACAGGGAAGAAAGGCCAAAGGGAAGGTTAGTGGTTTGGGGGATTGGAGGGTAGGGGGAGATTCTGTGGGTGATGGCAAGATTAGAGAGGTTGGAGAGGTGGGAATGCAAGCCCTTGCTGTGTGTGTGAGTGAGTGCAATTGTGTGTGTATACAGGGTGTGTACATGTGTGGGTGTGTGCACAATGCCTGTGTTACGGGTCTGTGTAGGTGGCTGTTATGCGTGTGCATGCATGTATACATCATGCAGGGATGGGACATGGAGGCCCAGGATCTTGGTGTGTGCTTATCAGGTTTGCTCTCTGCGTGGACATGTGCCTGTGTCCTGTGTTCTGTACATGTCACTGCATGCAGCACTGTTAACAGGATATCCTGTGTTTCTGTCACTCTGCCCCCTTTCCTCTGTGTTTCTGCTCTTTTTTTCACTGTGGCACTGAGGGGCTTTGTAAGCATATGCGTATGTGGCCTCTGTGTACCTCTGACTTAAATGAGTTTGTGCCTCTTAGTACTTGGTTATATGTGTAAGATTATATTACTTCCAAGAGTCAAGCAGACCAATTAGCAAATCCATTCTCCTTCTGTTAATTCTTTAGTTCTAAAGCAGAATTTTAGTGGATTTGAAGTTAGAGTTTCTGCCTTTATTACAGGATCTTTTATATGAACATAATGGCTGAACTGCATTCTTTGGCATGAGAATGAGGCAAGCAGACCTGAGAAAAGCAAAGACTTAGGAAGGAAATATCCTGAACCCTTAGATGCACTGTTGGGTGTGTAACAGAAGGGTAGTTAAATGCCTTTGTTCCTTGGTTTTTCTTTATTCTGGTAGCAGCCAGGGACTCCTGTGTTGGAGTCAGGAAAGGGCTGGGGAAGAAGGGGTTGTCCTGAGATAGAGTGGTTGTGGTTGTACTTTTCCTGTGAATGAAGGATGCTTGTGCTTTGGGGGTATGGGGGTACCTTGATGCGGTCAGAATCATGGTTTACTCAAGCATGTGTCTTAGAGGTTAAAGTGGCCTCCCCTGTGTGGGGGCCCTTTGTGGTGTCTGGGTTAAATGTCCTTTTCTGTAACGTGCTGCCCACATGACTGCCCAAGGGACTTGGGCCCCAGGTCCACACCAGTAGCTCTCATGGGTGTCAGGGTCGAGTATGCACTCCCCTGCTGCAGTGCTCACATATGTCTAAGCATGTGTCCAGTGGGGTATGTGGGCCCCAGGGCCTCAGGATGCAGACCTGTGGCACCCCCAACTCACCATTCTCTGCATGTCTTCTAAGCACCTGGGTTCCTCTTTTATCGTCCGTGCTGTGGTTATCATGTCCACATATATGTCCCCTCCCCACACAGCTCCGTGTATGTTTCTGTGCTCTACACATGTGTTGCTGAGGGACTGACAAGGGTTTCCATGTCATGGGATCCACATTTTTGTGTGTAGATCTCCTAACACCCGGGTTTTAGAGGCATAGGGAAGCTGGGCAATTTGCAGGCGATTTGCAGTTCAGGAAGCTGACAGTGAAGCTGTGGCTGTGGCCCTCCTTGTTCTGGACACTAGAGGGTTAACAGGCGGCTCTTCCGGTCCCCCCCACCAGCCTGTAGCTTCTTGTTGCTGTGGAGATGGTAGCCCCGCCCCTGATGCAGCACCTGCCCCCCCATTGGCTGCAGTGGTGACTGTGGGGCTGAGGGGGGAGCCCAGGCCTGGGCAGCCATTCTGGAGCTGGAGCCCGAGCTTGGCATCCCCCCACTTTCATTCTCCTCTAGCTCCTCAGCCCCTCTCAATTCCCTGGCAGCAGAGCCTCAGCTTCCCTCCTCCGAGCTGCCACCCCTCCAGACTCAGAGCCATCCGAGCTTCCTCCGCGTTCACCTCCCCTCCTCCTCACCCTGCCCTCTATTGGGAGTCCCCCGAGTGCCCACTGCCCATTCTCCCTGCTCCCCTGCGTTCTTCCCCTTCCCCTTCCCCCTTCCCTTCTGACTCCCTGCCTCTGCAGTGCACGTGGAGCGGGCCCCTTCTCCCCTCCCCCTGCCCTTTGCTGTCCCCAGGCTTCTTCCGCTTCCATTCCGCACAGGTCCCTTCCAGGACCTCCCCCTCCAGGCCAGGGAGGGGGTCATGGGAGGCAGTCCTGGCCCTCCAGACAGAGTGGGGTCAGGGGGGAAGATGTGCCCAGCTAAAAGAGGAGGAAAGCCTGCCTCCGGCCCATGACCTTTAACCCAACTCCCCGCGCCCCCCCCACCAGCTGACCCCTTCCTGGGGGTGTGGGCACCAAGAACCTAGGATCCGTGGCTCTTTGGTGTCCTTTATTCCTGGAGTTTTACTGATGCTCCCAGCCATGCCCCTTTGCTGACTGCCAGCCCCAACCCCAGTCATGGGCCTGAGGCCCCCCACCCCGTCCCCCTCTGGGGGCTCCGGCTCAGGTTCCTTGCCCCCTCCTTCCCGCCGCCAGCCTCTCAGCCGCCGCTGCTCTTCCTGCTGCTTCCCGGGGGGTAGGTGAGGCTGGAGCTGAGGGGCCGAGGGAGGGGGCAGATGTGCTGGGGCCAGGGTGGACCCGGGGCTACGGTGACCCCCTCCCATGTCCCTGCCGGCCCTCTCCTCCCCTCCAGAATACCACTTGGGTCGCTCGAGGAGGAAGAGTGTCCCAGGGGGGAAGCAGTACAGCATGGAGGCCGCCCCCGCCGCACCCTTCCGGCCCTCGGTGAGTGAAGGCCCTGCCAGATGTTGGTCAGCTGGTCCCCTCCCTGCCAGTCCCAGCTGGAGCCCCTGGATTGTGAGAAAGGGGGCAGGAGAGAGAGAGTCTGTGCGTGTGTCCCCCCACCACTTTGGTTTTCCCCTTCCTAGCTCTGCCCCCCCTGCTTCTCAGACCAGCCCTCCCACCTTCTCTAGGCTGGTGTGTGTGTGTGTGTTTGTGTGTGCACTCGCACCCGTGGGAGCACAGGAAGACAAACTGTAGCAGGGCTCCTGTCCCCTTTTTCTCACCCTGGAGACTTCCCTTTCCCCCCATCCTGGCTTCATCCAGAGGTTCCTTACCAGCTGAGCAGTGAGCAGGTGGAACCGACGCTACCCCAGCCCACCCCTATCCCCATTTCCCCCCACCCAGCAAGGCTTCCTGAGCCGGAGGCTTAAAAGCTCCATCAAACGCACGAAGTCACAACCCAAACTTGACCGGACCAGCAGCTTCCGCCAGATCCTGCCTCGCTTCCGAAGTGCTGACCATGACCGGTATGGGGTCTGAAGTGGGCTAGACCAGGGTGGGATGATTTGGATGCAGAGTAGGGGGCTCTGGAGTGCCCACTGCCCATTCTTTGGGGTCTATCAGAGTGCAGAGCTTGATGGCCTCTGATAGCAGCAGGAGATGGGGAGTGGGGGGAGGACGAGGAGCAAGGAGCTGGGCAGGAAAGGGGATGAAGGTGAAGCCAAGGAGGGCCTCTTCTGGCCGGGGAAGGATGGGCTCCAGGCTGGGGTGGACAGAGCTGCCCCGAAGGACAGAGATGGAGTGACAGCCGGGGAGAGGATGGGGAGGAGGCGGTGGGCGGGAGGGACAGGTGTGATCTGGGTGCAGGGTCCCAGGGAGGGGGGGCGGGGTGGGGTGGGGCAGCAGGTGCGCGGGGAGCATGCAGAGGAGGGCAGGCAGCACAGGTGTGCGGGTCCACAGCGGGGGAGGGCAGGCTGGAGGGTTCATGATGGACTGGGCCTGAGGAGGAAGGCCGCAGACAGTCCAGAGGGCACCGTCTCCAGGGCTGGGCTGGAAGGAACCTCGCAGCTCCTGGGGTCTGCTTCTTGGGGTCCCTCTTTGGGTTTCCCCCTCCCCCGGGGCTCCTCCCAGGGAGAAACCTGTCCTTCCTTCCCCCTGTCTGGCCACCCCGGGGCAGGGCAGGTAGGGAGTTGGGCTAGGTGAGTCACACCTTCCCCTCCCCCTCTGTGTCCCTGGAGCTGGATCTGGGGCCGGCAGGGGGTGAGGGCCTGGTATTCCTGGCCGCGGGGGCGGGGGGCCGGGGGAGCGTCGCGCTGACGGCAGTGGAGCCCAGGATGACGGGGCTGCTATAAATAGCTCCAGGAGGCTCCCACACCCGGCTCCCCCTCCCTTCCCGCTGCTCTCCACTCCTCATCCCTCGCTGGCTCCCGTGGCCCTCTGCTCTTCTGAGGGGTGCTCCCGAGTTCACCCCTGCTTGCCCTCTGTGCTCTCAGCCAGCCTCCAGGGCCCCTCCTCACCTTCTACCACCCTGTCTCTCTGCTCTTACCTTTCCCTCTTCCTCTTTTCCTTTCCCTATCTCTTCCTCCCTAGTCCTCCTTTCCAGACCCATGATCCTGTTCTGTTTTCTGCCCACAGCCTTCTCGTATTTCTTACTATTTTCCCTCACTCATTCCCTCAATTTTGCTAAAATGTGTTCTCTTACCTCGTTCATTCTTGGATTTATTAAATGCTTTTTAGGTAGTACCTATGTGGCAGGCCCAGACCAACATCTTTGTACTTTTAATTCTTGACTCCCAAGAATCAAGACTCCCACAGCTGTGTTTTTTTTAGGGGGATTGATCACCTAGAAGTCCCATCTAGAACTGTCCAAAGCCCACCTGTTTCCTTTTTTCCCTGCCATGGGTCATTTCTGGCTTGAGGTATTTCTAGGTGTCCCCAGTATTCAAAACCCCTTAGGTGGTGGACTGAGGGGAGGGGCTTTCTCTCACACCCCTTATGTCCTTCCCTGGTATAGGCTGGGTTTCTCTGTCTGTGTTCGTGTGGGAAGTGGGTGTAGAAGCACTTTCCCCAGGTCTCTGTCCATCACAGAGCCCGCTTGGTGATGCAGCCCTCTGGGTTTGTAAGCAGGCTGGGTCCTGATCCCCCCTCCTGGACCACCCCCCCCCACCCTGACCCAGGGCCCGGCTGATGCAGAGCTTTAAGGAGTCGCACTCTCATGAGTCCCTGCTGAGTCCTAGTAGCGCGGCCGAGGCCTTGGAGCTCAACTTGGATGAAGACTCCATTATCAAGCCAGTGCACAGCTCCATCCTGGGCCAGGAGTTCTGTTTTGAGGTACTGGGTGTGTGGGGCTGGGGTGGGCCCAAAGGTGGGGGTCCAGGAGGGGCAGGCAGAGAGGCTTGGAGAAGGTGGCAGAAGTGGGATGTCAGGGAAACAGAAGCCTCTGGGGCTGGGAGGAAGGAGGAATGGGCTGGGAGGAAGGAGGAATAGGCCAGGAGGAAGAGATGGTAGGGTGATCCCAGCCCTAGGGAGTCCTCTCCCTTCTAGAGCCCCCTCTGACCATGCATCCCTGTTCAGGTAACGACATCATCAGGAACAAAATGCTTTGCCTGTCGTTCTGCCGCTGAAAGGGACAAATGGATCGAGAACCTACAGCGGGCGGTGAAACCCAACAAGGTACTGCGCGTCTGGGGGCTCCAGACGGCACGGGCGGGCCGGTGTCCAGGGGGCCGGGGGCAGGGGTGGCATGGGGCGGGGGGCAGGTGGAGGAGTAGGAGGAGACCCCCTGTTTCTTTTTGTTTTCTTCTGCCGTATGATGTTTCCTTTCCATAGAAATCATAGACTTAGAGCTGACAGGGCTCTGGAATTTCCTCCAGTGTCTCTTCCCCGCAAGCAGGGATGTCTCCCTAATACCCTGACAGGTGGGCACCCAGCCCCCGCTCTCAGTGTTTCCGTAGGACACTTAGATTGGTCAGTAGCTGAATCTCGAGACCATGGTTTCTTCTCTGTACAACTGGTAGGAATGGGGTTGAAGTAGAATATCTCTAAGTTCCCTCTGGCTCAAAAATTCTGTGAGTCTGTGTTCTTCCCAAGAGAAATGCTCCCAGTTCCGTCTGCTGTTCTCTGTGTCCCAGCTTCCAGTGAGCTCCTCTGGGGAGACCCTTGTTTGTCAATGTCCTTCTTAAAAACTAGACCCAAGATGCTGCAATCGTCCCCCTGCAGAGTCCGGATACCAGGCTCTTTTCACACTGAAACCTCACTGGTCATTGTCAGCCTCCAGGCCCTTTTTGCATTAACTGTAGATTCTCACCTTTTGCATTTATGCCTTTTTTTTTTTTTTTTCAATTAACTTCTGATTGTCTTTGAAAAACTCCTCAGTTTTCCTTTTCAAATTCCACCTTAATATTTTGGGTTTATTATTATAACTTTTAAAATCTTTTCCCAATACAAATTCTATCAACTGATGTATGAGCTCAGTCTATATCAATTTTGTCTGGCTGCTGTAACAAACTACCACTAACTAGGCTACTTAAAATAACAGAAACTTATTTTCTGGTAGTCAGGAGACTGGAAGTCAAAAATCAAGGTGTCGGCAGGGCCTTGCTCCTCTGGAAGCTCTAGGAAGAATCCTCCCCTTCCCCTTCATACTGTTTGGGGGTTGCCAGCAGTCTTCAGCATCCCTTAACTTATAGCTCCATCTGCAAAATTTTTACTTCCATCTTCATGGGCTCATCTCCTTTCCATGTGTGTCTGGTCTCAAAATTTCCCTCTCCACATAGACCCCAGTCATGGGATTTAGGGTCCACCCTAATCCAGTATTAACCACATGTCAATGTGATTTTATCTGCAAGGACTGTATTTCCAAAATAGGTCACATTCCCAGGTTCCGAGTAGACCGAATCTGAGGGGAACAGGGTTCCGTTCCACACACACCTTCTCAACCCTGTGATCACTGGTCTCAGAGACTGGGTTTTTGACTGTCTGTCTTCTTTTGGTGTCTCTGGCTCTCTGGCCCTTCCCCTTCACCCACCCTACCCTGCCAGGACAACAGCCGCCGGGTGGACAACGTATTGAAACTGTGGATCATAGAGGCCCGGGAGCTGCCCCCCAAGAAGCGGTACTACTGTGAGCTCTGCCTGGATGACATGCTGTATGCACGCACCACCTCTAAGCCCCGCTCGGCCTCGGGGGACACCGTTTTCTGGGGTGAGCACTTCGAGTTCAACAACCTGCCGGCCGTCCGGGCATTGCGGCTGCACCTGTACCGTGATTCAGACAAAAAGCGCAAGAAGGACAAGGCAGGCTATGTCGGCCTGGTGACTGTGCCTGTGGCCACCCTGGCCGGGCGCCACTTCACAGAGCAGTGGTACCCTGTGACCCTGCCGACGGGCAGCGGGGGCTCTGGGGGTATGGGGGGCTCGGGTGGGGGAGGGGGCTCTGGGGGCGGCTCAGGGGGCAAGGGCAAAGGAGGTTGCCCAGCAGTGCGGCTGAAAGCACGTTACCAAACGATGAGCATCCTGCCCATGGAGCTATATAAGGAGTTCGCCGAGTATGTCACCAACCATTATCGGATGCTCTGTGCGGTGTTAGAGCCCGCCCTGAACGTCAAGGGCAAGGAGGAGGTCGCCAGTGCCCTGGTTCACATCCTGCAGAGCACGGGCAAGGCCAAGGTAAGTGCTGGGCCCTCAGGACGAGGCAGCCTGGGCATGGGTACTCGCTGGCGGGGACAGTAAGGGCATGTGTGTCTTCGTGAGCTTGGGGTGAACAGAGGCTGACCCCTGGCTCTTCCTGGGCTCCAGGACTTCCTTTCAGACATGGCCATGTCTGAGGTGGACCGCTTCATGGAACGAGAACACCTCATATTCCGCGAGAACACGCTCGCCACTAAAGCCATAGAAGAGTACATGAGACTGATTGGTCAGAAATACCTCAAGGATGCCATCGGTACGGCCCCCCTGCAGGCCTTCTCCCCAAACCTACAGACACCCGGCCCAGCCCTAAACACAGCTCCTGCAGACCCCAAGTCCACCTTGCCTCAGCTCCATGCTTTCAGACCCAGAGTCCCCAGCCTCCAGCCTGATTCTGAGATTCCCCAAACCCCAGTTGTCCCTGCCCTTTGTGACTGACCCTCACTGTGCCTCCAACCCCACAGGGGAATTCATCCGTGCTCTGTATGAATCTGAGGAAAACTGTGAGGTGGACCCCATCAAGTGCACGGCATCCAGTTTGGCTGAGCACCAGGCCAACCTGCGGATGTGCTGTGAGTTGGCCCTGTGCAAGGTGGTCAACTCCCATTGGTGAGACTGGGAACGCTGGGTTGGGAGGCCAGGGTTGGGGGAGTCGTGTGTTCATCTGTTCATCCATCTGTCCATCTTCAAAGAGACCCGAGAACCAGTTGTAGGCAAAGTATTGTGCTCAGTGCTATAGAGCAGACAGAGAGCTGTGAGACTTGGCCTCTGCCCTCAGAGGACCTGCACCAGAGGGGTGGGGATATTAAATAGGCAGAAAGCCAAGGAACAGTATAGTATGTGTTAAGTTCCAAGGAAGGGACCCTCCATCCCGGCTCTACACATAAGATCAGAGAAGGCAGAGCTTGGAGATGAGCAGAGAAGCCTTCATGGGAGAGGTGCTCCTGGACTGGGCTTAGAAGATTGGGCCAGGTTCTGATCTATAGAACATGGTGGGTTGAGAAGCTGCCTCGGGAGAAGGCTGTGGAGCAGACCCATGTGTGAGGGCGAGAGGTCCTGGGACAGCAGGCAGAAGTGGTTTAGTGGAGCATGTGGCTCACCTCTGGAGAACGGTGGGCCACGTGGCTGGACAGGGTGCAGAGAGTTAGCGTGTGAAGGCCTCACTGCCCAGTAAGGGAGCCTGAGTTCTCAGTAGGTCAGGGGACGCCTGTGTTGGTGTGGGCGCCGAGCAGTATCGTGACCTTGAAGGTTAGTCCTTCTGTAGAGGTGGGTGCAGAGGCAGCTGGATAGGGAGATGAAGTCCTGGCTAGTTGGGGGCTGTTGTTAATGTGTTAGGCATGGAAATCAGATCCTGAGTCAGGATCTGGCAGGAAAAATAGAAAGGGGCCGCTGTAAGGACCCTCTGTGGAGAGGATCAGCGGGCATCCTCAGCTAATTGGAAAGGAAGGGCCGTGTCTCTGGGGGTCCTGAGGCCGTGAGGCTGGTGGCTGGGCGACCAGTGGCCTCACTGACAGAACCAGGGAGTCAAGAGCGGGGGACTCAGTGGAGGTTGGAGGTGTGGGGGTGACGCTCAGCTCTGCTTTCCACGGTTCGAAGTTTAAGGTGTCAATGGGACATTGCAGAGGAGGACCTGGGAGGTGGGGGGAGTGAACTCAGCTGTTCCAGGGACTGGGACCATGCCTGGGGTGCCTCCATCCCCATTCCCCTGGAATCCAGAAGAGTTGGGGGGTCCGAGCTCCCTGTACCTCAAGTGACCCTCCATCTCTCTCCCATCTCTGTCTCTCCTGGTGTCTTTTTCTCTTCTCCTGCTCTCCTCGTCTCTCTGGCACACGCGCTGTCTCTCTCCCGTGTGTTCCTGTCCCCCACCTCCTCTCCCTCCGGTCCTCTCTCCGCCGTCTGTCCCCTGCCGCAGCCCTCTTCCTCCTCAGCCCCCCATCTTCCTCTTGCGCGCCCTCCCTCACTCCCTGTCACTTTCACCTCTGTCTCTGCACCCTCACCTCCTACCACCCCCCTCAGCATGTTCCCTGGAAGCTGAGGGTCTCTGGGGCTCAGTCCCGGTCTCTCTCTCTCTCTCTCTTTCTCTCTGTCTCCCTGCCCCTCCCCGCCAGCGTGTTCCCGAGGGAGCTGAAGGAGGTGTTTGCGTCCTGGCGACTGCGCTGTGCAGAGCGGGGCCGGGAGGACATCGCGGACCGGCTGATCAGCGCCTCGCTCTTTCTGCGCTTCCTCTGCCCGGCCATCATGTCGCCCAGCCTCTTCGGGCTCATGCAGGAGTACCCAGATGAGCAAACCTCGAGAACCCTCACGCTCATCGCCAAGGTCATCCAGAACCTGGCCAACTTTTCCAAGTGAGGGAAGCCTCAGGCCGGGGGTTGGGTGGGGCTGGCAGGAAGGGTCTCCTGAGTCCCTAGAGTCAGGCGTGGGTTGGGGCCTTCTGGGTGTGACCTGTGCCTTCTGGATGCTTTGGCCAGGTTTACCTCAAAGGAGGACTTTCTGGGCTTCATGAACGAGTTTCTGGAGCTGGAGTGGGGTTCCATGCAGCAGTTCCTATACGAGATCTCCAACCTGGACACGCTGACCAACAGCAGTAGCTTTGAGGGTTACATCGACCTGGGCCGAGAGCTCTCCACGCTGCACGCCCTGCTGTGGGAGGTGCTGCCCCAGCTCAGCAAGGTCAGCACGGGCCCCTTGGCTGGTCTTTAGGTCTCCAGAGGCTCCTGTGGCCCAGAGACCATCCCCTGAGCAGATTCTGCCACCCTTCTGATCACGTCACTGCCACTTTCCAGGCTCAGACACCTTTCCCCTTCTGAACTCTGAGGCCCCCGGGTAACAGCCCCCAGGTAAAGCTGGGCTCTTAGCCCCCAGGTAACAGCCTTCTCCTTCCAGGAAGCCCTCCTGAAGCTGGGCCCGCTGCCCCGGCTCCTCAACGACATCAGCACGGCTCTGAGGAATCCCAACATCCAAAGGCAGCCGAGTCGTCAGAGCGAGCGGCCCCGGCCTCAGCCCATGGTGCTGCGGGGCCCTTCGGCCGAGATGCAGGGCTACATGATGCGGGACCTCAACAGGTGAGCCCTGGGAGCCCCCGGCTGTGCCCTAGGAGCCCGCACATCTGTCCCGGATACACTCCTGGGTCCGTGAGCCTCTCTCAAGGACTTCAAAGAAAGGAAAGAGAAGCGTTTTCTTAGAGAAAACTGTAAGGAGACAGGTCCAGTCAGTGGTTAGGCTGAGAGCCTTTAAAAGTCAGAGGAAGCAAGCAACGCAGAGCGCCCCCCTGCCAAAAACATCCCTTCAGCTCCATGTGCTGTGAGCCTGGGGTCCTTCGGCCTGCCCAGGCCTGCCACAGGCGGGAGCTCAGCCAGTACGCTGGGACCAGCCGCCTGTGTCAGGACGTTCAGATGGCTCTGTCCTAGTCCCCGCCGGGACCCCTCAGAGCCTGCCCGCTCTGGCCGTCCCCCCCCCGCAGGGCCTCCCCTGCGCCGCCGGGCACTGCCCGCCCTGCCCCTCTTCTCCATGACACCATTCCCATCCGCCACCCCGCCCGCCTCCACACGTCCGACCTCCGCCCCTCTCTCCTTCTCTGCCTGTGCTCGCCCCTCTTGCATCTCTCTCCAGCTCCATCGACCTTCAGTCCTTCATGGCTCGAGGCCTCAACAGGTGAGGGGCTCTGCGCTCCCCCGCCCGCTTCTCTCTGCCGTCTGCCGCCCGCTCCCAGCCTTCTCCATGCATCCTCATTTCCCCCACGTCTGCCCGGACCTGCCCTCACCCCTCCTCCTGCTGCCCCATCTGCCCCCCGCTGCCCGGAGGCCCGTCCCGTCCTGTTTCTCTCGCACCCTTCGCACCCCGCCACTGCCGTCTCTCCCTGCCCTGTGTCCCCCTCTTCACCCCAGGCCTTCGCTGATCACAGAGGCTCACCTGCCGGTGGCCCGCTCTGACCTCCCACTCGTGTGCCCCCTTCCCTTCCTGCAGCTCTATGGACATGGCTCGCCTCCCCTCCCCAACCAAGGAGAAGCCCCCACCACCACCGCCTGGTGGGGGGAAAGACCTGTTCTATGTCAGCCGCCCACCCCTGGCCCGGTCCTCCCCCGCCTACTGCACCAGCAGCTCGGACATCACAGAGCCGGAGCAGAAGATGCTGAGTGTCAACAAGAGTGTCTCCATGCTAGACCTGCAGGGTGATGGGCCTGGCGGCCGCCTCAACAGCAGCAGCGTGTCCAACCTGGCGGCTGTTGGGGATCTGCTGCACTCGAGCCAGGCCTCCCTGACTGCAGCCTTGGGGCTGCGGCCTGCACCTGCTGGCCGCCTCTCCCAGGGGAGCGGCTCGTCCATCACGGCGGCTGGCATGCGCCTTAGCCAGATGGGCGTCACCACAGACGGTGTCCCTGCCCAGCAACTGCGCATCCCCCTCTCCTTCCAGAATCCTCTCTTCCACATGGCCGCTGATGGGCCAGGGCCCCCAGGGGGCCACGCAGCGGGCAGTGGCCACGGCCCACCCTCCTCCCATCACCACCACCACCACCACCACCACCACCGAGGCGGAGAGCCCCCAGGGGACACCTTCGCCCCATTCCACGGCTACAGCAAGAGCGAGGACCTCTCCTCAGGGGTCCCTAAGCCCCCTGCTGCTTCCATCCTTCACAGCCACAGCTACAGCGATGAGTTTGGACCCTCTGGCACTGACTTCACCCGTCGGCAGCTCTCACTCCAGGACAACCTGCAGCACATGCTGTCCCCTCCCCAGATCACCATTGGTCCCCAGAGGCCTGTCCCCTCAGGGCCTGCAGGCGGGAGCGGCGGTGGGGGCAGTGGCGGGGGCGGCGGGGGTCAGCCGCCCCCATTGCAGAGGGGCAAGTCTCAGCAGTTGACAGTCAGCGCTGCCCAGAAACCTCGGCCGTCCAGCGGGAATCTGCTGCAGTCGCCAGAGCCAAGTTATGGCCCTGCCCGTCCACGGCAGCAGAGCCTCAGCAAGGAGGGCAGCATCGGGGGCAGCGGGGGCAGCGGTGGCGGCGGCGGCGGGGGCGGGGGGCTCAAGCCCTCCATCACCAAGCAGGTAGGACGGGTGGGAGGGCTGGAGGGGCAGCGAGCGGGAGGGGAAAAGGAGACAGGTGGAGGGGAGCAGAACAGTCTGTGGTCTGAAGTCACACTTTTCTCATCTCCTTTCATTCATTAAAGTGCACAGAGGGCCTACTTTCCTCCACGTGCTGTTGTGGGCACTGTGTGCTTGTCAGTTAATAGACAGGCCTTCCTCCCCTCTTGGGGCTCCCAGGGGAAATGTGATGAGAACAGCATTCATGAGGGGATCGGCGGGGGGACTCCGGTCTCCTTGGGCCATTTTCCCTGCCTCTGAAGGCGCCTGCCTTCTTCACCTTCCCTCTCCCCTCCTGCCCCAGCATTCCCAGACGCCATCCACACTGAACCCCACAATGCCGGCCTCTGAGCGGACGGTGGCCTGGGTCTCCAACATGCCTCACTTGTCGGCTGACATTGAGAGCGCCCACATCGAGCGGGAAGAGTACAAACTCAAGGAGTACTCCAAGTCTATGGACGAGAGCCGGCTGGACAGGGTACGAGGGGCCCTCCCCGCCCTGAACCCTGTCATTACCTTTACCCACAGGGCAGGCTTCTAGTCCCTTCCAAGGGCAACACCTGAGGCCAAGTAGTTATGAGAAGAAAGGACAAAGACCCGATCCCTTCTGAGAAGCCCTCAGTCTCTCAGGGGAGGCCAGATACAATCAGTCCACTGAAAAGCCCCTTTCAGCTCTGTTTTGTGGGTTCCACACATGGTAGATTGTCGGGGGAAGCATGCTCTGTATTAGACTGCCTCCATGTTCCTCCCCAGGGAGAGCATAAGCCCCGGCTCCTGTGGCTTCTCAGGAGGAAAGTTACTGCACTAGCAGTGGGAGCTGATCCATTGGGCGAGGGCAGGGCAATTATACCACGAGCCACACATGGCTTCCCCAGTCACTGTCCCACAGGCACCGGTGACAGAGGGGTAGTGGTCACAGGTCTTGTGTGCGAAAATGGGGTGTATTGGCACACGTGGGGAAGACCATCCAGACTTTGAGCTGCTGGTGGCCCCCAGCAAAAGTCAGCCGAAGCTCTGGCCCTTACTCACTTAGCAGAAAGCTGCTTGGGAGCCATTGCTACAAGGACCCTGAAGAAGAGGGTGACTGCAGGGTTAGATTATACATACAGGATACATAATTCCAACTGGGGGAGCAGAGAGGTTTTTGGGGAGAAGTAGTCTCTGAGCAAAGAAAAATGTTGGGATTGATGTAGATAGACTTGAGCTAAGAGAATATCTTTAGACCTTATTATAAATTATTTCCAGCACCATTTAACAAACCAAGGACAAAATGCCTCCCACCTGTGTCCATGAGTCTGTCTAGGCTCCTGTGTGGGGTCTCCTGTGTCCAGGTGCAGATGTGAGGGCATGTGTATACCTCTAGGTTGAGGGAGTCCACGGTCTTGTTACATCTTGAGGGAGCCTCAGCCCCATGGGAGGGGTTTCTTAAAAGTTTGTGTGTGTGTGTGAGAGAGAGAGAGGGAGATCAAGAGGCCAGGGAAAGGCTGGAGGAGACTAGTGAGGATGCCTCAGTGCATGGTGCTGTGCTTAGCAGGCAGGGTAGAGGCTGGGTGGACGGTCAGGCCCAGCCCCCCTCACAGTGCGGGGTCGTGTGCCCGGCGGGCAGGTGAAGGAGTATGAGGAGGAGATCCACTCGCTGAAGGAGCGGCTGCACATGTCCAACCGGAAGCTGGAGGAGTATGAGCGGAGATTGCTGTCCCAGGAAGAGCAGACCAGCAAAATCCTGATGCAGTATCAGGCCCGGCTGGAGCAGAGTGAGAAGAGGCTACGGCAGCAGCAGGTGGAGAAGGACTCCCAGATCAAGAGCATCATCGGCAGGTGAGGAGCGGCCCGGGCAGGGCTGGTGAGGAAGAGCCTGAGGCTGAAGAGGGTCAGTGAGCGCCCCCCCAGCTCAGGACACCCGGAGGAGAGCCCACCACCCTCCCAGGGATGCCACCTCCTCCACTGTCACCAGATGGAGAGACGCCTCGCGCTTAGCGCATTAAATGTAAACCTTGACCTCTTTCCTAGTAATGTCTGAAGCCCTCAGAAATGCACCTGTTACTGTCCAGCCATATCTGTGTGTCTGGACTGGCCTAGGCTGGGGCTCCCCACTGGTTATTCTCAGGCCAGCCTATGATGCTCACCCCAAATCTAAGCAGGGGTCCCTTAGCCACAGTAGCCCTGATCTTCCCATCCTGGGCCGCTCTCCTCTGCAGCTGTGGAAAGGTGTTCCATCAGAAAGTGAATGATGCGCATTCTACTTTGTGCTCTGCCAAGCCCTGAGCTCCAAAGGAAGTGTCTCAACAAGGGGGTCAGTTAGCTTGAGAACTGGATAGGACCCCACACCCCACTCCAACCAGAGCCAGCTCCATTTCCATCCATTCTCAGTGTATTTTTGAGTAAGATTAATTAGAAAAGCTTGACTTGAAACTTTTGAAAACCACTGCTGTTATATCCTTTATGAGAAATCACCTTGAGAACCTTCTATGAGCGTAGAGAGAAGCTGGGAATGATGATTATAGAGACCCCTCTTGGGCCAGGGGTGTCCAGGGGCTGCCGTGGAGACAGTCTCAGTTCCGTGAGGTGGTGTAGGGGATGGAGAAGCCAGGTCTTCAGCTGCAGTGTCTGCGGAAGGGCCTGCTCATGGATAGAGTGTTGAGTGCTGTGTGCCTGGTGGGTGGGGCCCCCGGGGCACAGAGACCTGTCCTTAGCAGGGAGATGCAAGCATTCCTGAAAGCGGGTGAATGACGGGCAGTCTCTGGGGCCCGTGAGGTCGGAGCAATGGAGGGATTCTGAGTGCGAGTGAGAAAAGTGCCAAAGCTTCTTGAGAGAGTGGCAGGGTTCCCAGGGTCGGGATCTCCCCGGGCAGGCTCCCCGCCCGTGCCCGCCACTAACCCCACTGAAGCCCGTCCCTTCAGGCTGATGCTGGTGGAGGAGGAGCTGCGCCGGGACCACCCCACCATGGCTGAGCCGCTGCCCGAACCCAAGAAGAGGCTGCTCGACGCTCAGGTGGAAATTACAATGTCATTTATCTTCTCTGTGTCCCATCCCCATCCATCCCACTGTCCTTCGTGCGGTCACTGCGCCAGCCACCCCAGCCCCATTGCCGCCGTCTCTCCCGTCGTCCTCCGTCCGGAGGCCGCTCCCGGCCGTCCCCCGCGACCCCATCTTCATCCAGTCGTCTGTGCCTTCGTCACTCCCAGCAGTGTCAGCCTCCACTCCCCTCCCCCCTCCCCGTGCCTCCCCACCCTGCCTCCCCTGCTCGGCCGCATTTCAGGACCTCCGGCCAGAACCTCAGCCTCTCTGCTCCCAGACCCGAGTCTTGGCCCCAGACTGGCGGCCCCAGACCGAGCGCCTCTCAGGCCAGGGGGCCGGAGGCAGTGCTTCACCAGCACAGAGCCCCAGGCAGGTGCCCAGCGGGTGTCCTGGGGCCATGGGGTGCTCGTCATCACTGCTTCCTGGGCCCCTCAAGTTCTCCTTGTTTTCTGATGGCTTGCCAGGCCTCTTCCCAGCTTCTGGGATCCTGAAGCCCACCCCCCACCACCCGGCCCCACACTCTGAGTACCCTCTCCTGCCAGTGTTTAAAGCCCAGCCCACCTTCTTCAGCCCTGTTCCCCCTCTGGTCCTCACACCTGCCTGACTGCCCCAGCTCCCAGCCAGCCGCCCTCTCTCTCCAGCCAGCTTTCAGGACTTCCCTCCCTCCCCCAACCCCTTGTTTCCCTCCCCCCAGTTCGGCTCACTTGCCCACTCATGCTTTTCTCTCCTCTGCTCTGACCTCCAGGCTCCCCCCCCCCAAAACCACCAAGGCTCCTGACCCCATGACCCCACTCTCTCCCCCTGCAGCTCCTCATCAGGTAATTCTCCTGGTTCCGCTTTGACCACGGGCGGAGGACACAGGGGGAGGTGACTCCGGACCACTGCAGGTTGGTCGTGAAGCCCACTCCCTCTGACTCTCCAGAGCCCCTCCCTGGCTCACGGCTGTCCCCTACACCTGAGGACCTCCCCAGACGCGACCCTCCGGACACCTGCACAGACCCATCTACCCAGGCACTGCCCCAGAGCGCTTCCCTGCCGCCTCCCAGAACCGTTCAGGGACACTCGCTCCCTACCAAGCGCTTTACCCTAGACACCTGCACATCCCTAGATCACAGCGCCCTCCCAACACAACCTCCCCGCACCTCCCCCGACCCTGCCTCCTCCTCTAACCTCTCCAGTGTATGTCTGTCACCCCCCATTTCACCAAAGCGTCCTTGGGGGTTGGGATGTTGGGGTAGGGTTTGTTAAGGAGGGGTGGTGATACTGGGTAGGGGGGCGCTGGCTAAAGGGGCTGTGCTGGCTGCAGCAGGTAGGCTGGGGTTTCCTCTTTCTTATCCCTTCTCCTGGTTCTGTGGAGAGCCCTCCTTCCTTCCACCCCTGACCTGTTTCTCTTCCTCCTTCCCTACACCTGTGAGGTGGACAGCATCTGAGGCTCCTATTCGACCCTGCTGGGTGGGAGTTAAGAGTGTGTAGTTAATGCAGGGAGACTTTGGGGGTCTTGGAAAGGGTGCCATTCAGATGTCAAGACAGTAAGGGTGAGTGGAGCAAGGAGAAGGATCGAGAAAGGAGACCCTGATGGATGTTAGGACGTGGACCGGCCCACGTGGTGTGGGAGTTGGCAGTGGCAGGAGATGTCTTCCCAGATAAGATCATGGGCTGGTAGCCATGTTGATTTCAGGCAGAGGTGCTAGGTTGGGGGGTGCTAATGCCATTCACTCCCTGTCTCCTGCTACCCAGTGGCCTTGCCGGACACAGAATCCTACCTGAAAAGCCAGTAAATGGGAAGCTGTCAACCAGTGACATCACTTCTGAGAGGCTTTATTTTCTGCAGAATGGATCTGCAGTGGGCAGTGGCTCCTCACACTGTAATTTTAACTCTCTGCCTGCCCAGCCTCTCTGTCAAAGTAGTTAGCTGAAAACAGATGCTGCCAGGCACCAGGGGACCTCACCATTTAAAGGACTCCTGTGGTGAACCCTTTTGTAAAATGAATAATGGCACCCTAATTTTCTCCTTTCTAAATCTGGGTCCCTGGGGGTGTTGGGGGCATGCCTGTGTGCCGCTGCCAGCAGACAAGCAGAGGGAAGGGAGTCTGAGGTCTCCTTCCCCTGCTCTCCTGCCACACTCAGGATGCCCTGCTGCACGTGACTTCCTCTTGTTGACTCCTGGAAAGTGTGGGAGATACTCAGTAGCTAAGAGGGCAGCTTTGCTTAAATCTTGGGTTTGGGTGACCTTTTGAGAGGTGAGGAGAACTGATTCGGGAGCCTCTGCCTGGAATGTTATGTCTTTAGCGATTCGGTCAGACACAGCTTGGTTGCTAGGCTTCAATGCCCCATATCTCAGGAAATAATTTGGACAGTTTTTCTAAATCCCTTTCAGGTATTGGTCCCTCTGTAACTCAACCATTAATGTAAAAATTAACTTTATGTCTGTATTTTTAAAAGCCAAATGAGCGACCTGAAGCATAGAATACATGGTGTTCTTCTCCGCTCCCAGCAGAGGAACAGAGCCAGAGCTGAGGGGAGGAGACAGGAGTTGGTCCAGGAAGGGTAGGAAGGGGTAGAATAGGACCAGGGGTGGGAGTCCCCCTCACCCTCTAACTCAGAGCCCAGGGTGAGGTAACGAAAGGAACGTGGGGGTGGAGAAGAACGAAGTCCTTCTGCTTCCTGGGGACGCAGAGCTTGGAGCATGCTGTGTCTCTGCAGGAGCTCCTGGTCCTTCCTTTCTGACATCAGCATGAGAGGCAGCCCTCCCACAGTATTTTTTCCTTCCCACATCACTTCCCTGAATCCTGTTCCTTTCCCCCAGTACAGTTAAACCTCTCTAATGTAGAGTGTTGTATTTGAGATGGCCACTCTGAATAAGTGACAAAACTGAATGACAGTATCTGTTTAATGAAATGCATATCTTCAGAATATATACAGTAAGTAGAACTCCACAAACGAGGCTTTTCCACTCGAGGCCCTCAGGGAGCATGTGTTAATGAGTGGATAGGATTGAAAAGCCTGTTTTCTGGTATAGGTTAAATATTCCCTCCCACAGACATGTTTCTACTATTAATTTGCTTAGCACATTCTTTCTTCACAGATAAAGGAAAACTCAAGCCCAGTTTTTGTTCAAATTATGAAAAAATTCCAATCCATGGGGGGTTGGATTAATGAGGTTTTGCTGTACTGCCTTTCCTTGTTCCCTCTGCACTAAGTTCCCACCTCAGGTTGGTGGTGGCCTGGGAGGGGGCCCTGGGCAGTGGAAGATGCCAGGGTTAGCTTGAGGGTGAGATAGGAAACTGACCTCTTTTGAAATGGGTTCCTGGTGTGACTCCTGGGGTTGAAGGCCCCAGTTAGGAGTTGGGGTAAGAGTCTCTTCTCCCTGATTGCAGAAGATGTACCTTCTCCTGCAGGTGAGAACAAACGAGGATGATGTGGGTGGGAGGGGTGTCCTGGGGGAAGGGGGTGGGATAGTTGGTGGAGTGGGTCAGCTCTGGGGGAGGCCACTGCTTGGGGGCTGGCAGCCAGGCCCCCGCGAAGCGTCTCAATAAGTCCGCGCTCTCCTCTTTGGTATCTTGCAGGAGAGGCAGCTTCCCCCCTTGGGTCCAACAAACCCGCGTGTGACTCTGGCCCCACCTTGGAACGGCCTGGCCCCCCCAGCCCCACCTCCCCCACCCCGGCTGCAGATCACTGAGAACGGCGAGTTCCGAAACACCGCAGACCACTAGCCCACCCAGCATCTCAGACCTCCTCCTCCCTCCCTGTGCACCCCACCCTGGAACGGCACCGACCACCAGGACTGGACGTCGCCGAGGGACAGCGGGATCGCCTCCCTGAACGCCTCCTTGCGGGGCACCAGTCCCCCACCCCCACTGCACCATTTCTGGGAGGGAGAGTGGGGACCCTCAGCTGCCCCCTTTTCCTTCCTGCTGGGGTGCTGTCCCCTGTGACCCCCAGGACCCTTGCCCCAGGACACAGACCCCTTCACTCCGGGGTGCTATCCCCATCCTCTGCCTCATCGTTCCCCTGAGCACTGGGGGACAGACCCTCACCCCCACCCTGGGGGTGCGGCACCTCCAAACTTTCAACTTCAGGGTGATTTTTTAGCAGTAACCAGAGCTGACAATCTAACTCCCCTCCACCGCCCCATTTTGGCCTCCCCTGTCCCCCTTGTTATGGGGAGGGGACCCCGGGTGAGGGGGTCCTATTACCCCTTGATTTCTCAGGAGCGTCTGGGGGGGCTCAGCACGCACAAACTCCTTCTCCTCCTACCACTCTCAAATACTCTCCCTCCCCACCCAGAACCCAGATGGGGTGGAGGGGCCACCGGGGCAGGGAGGGGGCGGCAAGGGGGAATGGGAGTTGTCTCCCTTTCTTCCATACCTGATCTGCTCTTGGCTGGTCCCAGAGCGGGGTGAGGGGGCTCAGGCCCCCCCCTCCCCCAGTGTGTTGGGTGGGGCGGAACTGAGGTTCAGGGGAGGGGTTAGGGTTTAGGAGGGGGGTGTATGTTGGGGAGGACAGACTAGCTGATCTGCCCTACCCTGACACACACAGCCCCCCTGCCCCCCCCTTCTTGGTCTCTACTCCCAGGGGGAGGGGGGAACTTACTCTAGGAAAAGCCATGTCTCTCTCCCCCAGGGCAGGGGGACCTGTGTTGGAGGAGGGGTGTTGGGGGCCCCCTTCCATGACTCTGTCCCCTGGGGGAGGTAGGACAGGGCTGGGCTTCCCTCTCATCCTCCCCCCCCCCCCAATCTCCCTCCACATCTCTCCCTCCCGCCAGCTCCACAATTTTTCGGTGTTTCTCTGTACATAGCTCTCTGGCGGGATAGGGGAGGTAGGATGGATGGGGTTTGGGGTGGGTCGGTCATAGGGGGAGAGAAGGCCCTCCTTGGCACCCCCTCATCCCTGACTGCTGTCCTCTACCCAGCCTTGCCCCCTCATCCCTTCTTGCGTTTGGTATTGAGACTTCTCGGACTCCACCCTTCTTTCTTTTGTATGGACAGTTCCCCTTCAGTCCCATACCCTACACACAGACACCCAGCCGGGGCCAAATTTATACTTATATAAAAGTTGTAAATATGTGAAATTTTATCCCTGTGCCCTTCCTTGCTTTCCCAACCTCAGACCCTCCCCCTGGACCCCCTTTCCTCTTCTCTTCTTTGGCTGTTGTAATTATCTGGGATTTGTACTGTACATATCTGGGGTGTGTGTGTGTGGGCTGGGGGCAACCCCTCTGTACAGCGCTTCCTGGCCCCCTCCCCCCCACGATTCCGTCCCCCACCCCATAAGGGTAGGGAGATGTTCTTCCTACCTGTTTTATTTTGTTTTCTCGTTCTCCCTCCCCACCCCACCCCACCCCACCCCCAGCCTACTCTCTCCCCCACCACTGCCCTTTTTCTTCCACTCCCAGCCCCATTTCCTTTTTTTCTGGAGTGTGTGGTGAAACAGAAAAATCATGTTTAATAAACGGAGATTGTTCTTTTATCGCGGTGCTGACTTTCCTAGTCTCGGACCTCCAGGAGGATTAGCATGGTGACAGGAACTGCTTTTTGAGAGGAAGCTGACAGCTTGAGAGAAATTCTGTATCCTTGTGTGATGCCATAGTCTTGGCCCTAGAATATTGATCTCCCGACCAGCGAAACTGTTTTAGAGTAGGAGTCTTGCACAGGCCAAATTTCCCCCATGTGTCTCACCACTGCGCCACTTAACCCCAAGAGTAGAGAGGTTAAGGAACAACAGCATTATCTGATAAAAAGTTACAAGTGTACATCTACATGTCCCTTAAAAATAATTACCTAGAAAAGAAGATTATTTGACTGTTGGTTAAAGTGCTCCCGTGCGGAACGGAGGAAAGAACTGGGTGCCTCAGCCTTGTGGAGTCGGCCCCTGGGCCAGCATTTGCCGCCTCGGCTTCCCCTGAGGAAAGGATGGGAACTCCTACCTCGCTGGTGGCAGGTCGGGGGAGGGAGCGTGGGATAGAAGGTGATGCGAACAATACCTAGCCCATACGCTAGATGCCCTCTTAATCTCCACCTATCGGGGGCAGGCTGTACATTTAATCACTGGCATGGCTCACTGGTCGTGCCCTCAGTACCGGGTGCACCTTCTCATCCCTTCTGCGGCCCGGGCCGGGTCTACTGCCTCCCGCCAGCACCGCCTTCTCCCCGGCGCGACCAATCGGCGTGAGGCTTGTAGGCCGGCGCCCTCCGATTGGCTGCCTCCCTGGCCCCGCCCAACTCATAGAGGTCCGCTTCCGGCGGGGAGGAGGCGGCTTCCGGCCGAGGCGGCGCGGTTGCTGCAGAGGCGCTTTGGACGCCGGACCGCGTGTGTACCCGTGGGGGCGTGGCGGCAGGAAGGGCCAAGTGGCTGGCGCTCACGGTCCCCAGGTGCCTGCCAGGGAGTTGGACTCTGCGGGCACGTGAGTTGGGGAGCGGATCGGCGGGGTCCGGCTCGCGGCTGAAGGACCTCCTCCTCGCCACAGGCCCTGCAAGTTCAAGCCCCGGTTGGTGTTTTGTTGTGGTTTGTTTTCGTTTTCTCGGCGGGGTGTGTTTGGGACTGTTCTGCCCGAACCACCGGCGACCGAAAAGTTCCCACACGTTGGGGTGCAGCGGAGGCGGACGCTGTTTGGGGAGATACGATTGCCCTCATCCCGAGCGTCTGTGACCCCCTCTTTCTTCCGCAGCCCTCGTCGCGCAGGGGCTCTCCCCCGCCCCTCACCTCCTGTACCCGACCCTCTGGGGTCTCTTTCTTCCCCAGGAGGCCATGGATACCTCGACGCCTTTGCCTCCCGTAGCCCCCTCCCCAGCCTGCAACCCAGCCCCACGGACGATCCAGATCGAGTTTCCTCAGCACAGCTCGTTGCTGCTGGAGGCCCTGAACCGCCACAGGCTGGAGGGAAAGTTCTGTGATGTCTCTCTCCTGGTGCAGGGCCGCGAACTGAGGGCCCACAAAGCAGTGTTGGCCGCCGCTTCTCCTTACTTCCACGACAAACTACTTCTGGGGGATGCACCGCGTCTCACCCTTCCCAGCGTTATCGAAGCCGATGCCTTCGAGGGGCTGCTGCAGCTCATTTATTCGGGGCACCTCCGTCTGCCCCTGGATGCTCTCCCTGCGCACCTCCTTGTGGCCAGTGGCCTGCAGATGTGGCAAGTGGTAGATCAGTGCTCAGAGATCCTTAGAGAACTGGAAAACGCAGGTGGTGGGATTTCATCCCGAGGAGCTACCCCTTTCCACACACTTCTTTCCACCACAGGAGGCTGGTGCATCCGCTCTTCTCCTTGCCAGACCCCGGCACAGTCTTCTGCTTCTACCCAGAGCCCGATTGGAGGGGAGGGGAGTGAACTGGGAGATATGTTACAGCTTCAGGTTGAAGAGGAAGAGGAGGAAGAAGATGAGGAGGACCAAGGGTCAACAGCACCCTCTCAGACTCCTCAGTCTCAGAAAGGGTCAGGGAGTTTTCCTTGCCCTCCTGCATCCCACCCCCTGCCCACATCCACTACTCCTTGCAGGCTTCCAGAGGGCGAGAATGCCCCACCTGAGCCTCCTGCTCCTCATACTGCATTGCCCCCCAAAATCTTCTACATCAAGCAGGAACCCTTTGAGTCCAAGGAGGAGGTAGCAGGAGGCGGAAGTCAGTCTGTAGGAGCAAAGGAGGAGACCAAAGTGTTTCCAGGAGGGAACACTGAAGAGAATGGAGAACTAGGGTTCCTACTGCCCTCAGGAGCAGGGACAGCATCTGGAGGAGGTGGTCCATCCTGGAAACCAGTGGATCTTCATGGGAATGAAATCCTGTCAGGGGGTGGGGGACCTGGGGGAGCAGGGCAGGCTGTGCATGGGCCTGTGAAGCTAGGTGGCGCACCTCCTGCAGATGGAAAACGCTTTGGTTGTTTGTGTGGGAAACGCTTTGCAGTGAAGCCAAAGCGTGACCGGCACATCATGCTGACCTTCAGCCTTCGACCCTTTGGCTGTGGCATCTGCAACAAGCGTTTCAAGCTGAAGCACCATCTGACAGAGCATATGAAGACACATGCTGGAGCCCTCCATGCCTGTCCTCACTGTGGTCGCCGGTTCAGAGTCCATGCCTGCTTCCTTCGCCACCGGGACCTCTGCAAGGGTCAGGGCTGGGCCACTGCTCACTGGACTTACAAGTGATTGCTGAGGCCATATGCTAACTTTCAGGAGAAGGGAGCCACTGTTGCTGATGGATACTTATTACTCCTCACTACCACAGTACCCTAACCTTGTATCTTGTTGGTGTTGGTGGTTTTTTCTTGGCCATACTTCGTAGCATGCCACTAGGGATTGAACCTGCACCCCTGCAGTGGACAGTGCAGAGTCCTAACCACTGGACCAGCAGCAACATCCCTGTATCTTGTTAATTATTCCAGAAGGATAGATATATTATGAATCTCTTCTTGGGTGTGGGCCTCAACCTGACAGATTTGAAAACTTGATTTCTCATCTCCAGGTTTTTGCTAACTATCCTACAGGAAACTGGTTTACAGGCCGTAAATATACTGATCAGTTGTCTGTAATAGATTTTTTTCATACAGGAAACTGGATTAAATTTCAGATTACAAGTTTTATTTGATGAGAGAGGAGTTAGAGCAAGAAAAATTATGATAAATGTTTAATTCAGTCTCTACGAGAAGTTAAGGGAGCTGGTCTCCATCTAGAGATGTGTTTGATTCAGAGTTCTAGTAATCCAGAGACTAAGCTCTAAGCTTTACTTTTCCCTCATCGTTGCTGAAATTTTACGAGTAAAGGTCTTCTATACTTTTCCTTTGTTATGATTTTCTGGAAACCCTTCAGTCTGTAAATTACTTTCTCACCCATAGGTACTTTTTCAACCCCTTTATTTTGTATGTTGTAGTTGAGCACTTTAACAAATTGAGGATTCTGTGAGTCACTTAGAACCCTCTTTAATAGAGGTATTCCCTCCACAGTCTGTGCCTCTTGTCTACCTTTGACCACCACTGGTCACTCATATTGATCACAGGGACTGAAATGTGATCAGTGAACTCAGGAGATGGCCACTGACCTAAAATGCTCTCAGGGTAGTGCCACTGCTCTGAACAAGTGGCCGAGGTTAGAGGGACTCAGGGCTGAGGTGGCACATGGTGAAAACTAGAGAAATAACTGCACAGTGGGACCATACCTCCTCCCTTTCCATCCTGACCCACATTACAGCCCCTTGGTCCACACATAGAAGGGTAGATATTGGAATGAGGAGATTGTCGTAGTTTTCTTTATTTCTTCCAATAAACTTTGCCATGAAATCTAAGCTAACTGTGAATTTAATTGAGTCATTTATATGGGAGAGACCATGTGAAAAGAGTTGCAAAGACCTGGATGTATTCCTTATGCAGCTGGGTTATATCAGTGGGGGAAGAATCAGATAGTTTCATGCTGATGGAGAGAACACAGTCCTGGACATTGGTGGACCAGATTCAGTCCTCACCTGCCTCTGAATAACTTCTGATAAGTTACCTTATTTTTCAGAGTTTTAATTTTTTTTTTTTCTTTTGAGGGATGGGGTGTTATGTACCTTCTGACTAGTTCTTTGTTTTCTCTTTTTTTTAGGGGTTGTTCACATGATTCTATAATGTTGCCTCCTGACTTCATGTATTATGTGTATTGTTTGGTTTGTTCAACACTTACTACAAAGCACTGTACTCAACCCTGACTTACACTCTTAACCCTGAAGAGTTTGCAGCTACTACCAAAGCTAGATATAATGACAATGTGGTATAGTAAGTCCATGATGGGGGACAGTACAAGCTACTGTAGTGGCACAAAGGAAGCTGAATAAAGACCTATTATAGGTCACCAGAGGTTTCACAAAGAGCTCCTCCGTTGCCAGAGTGTGGCAGTGGGGATAGGTGACTGAATTGATGTGGAAATGGTGAGCATGAGAACTGTAGAGTCAAGACTGACAGCCTTTGCCAAAGCAGGTACCTCAGAAGTTATTAGGTATGGAGCCTAAAGGGGCTAAAACTATGACTGTGGCTGAGAAGGTGAGTTCTAGCTGGGACCTGTCAGTCTTTCTAAAGAACCATACCCACTGGGTACAGGGTCAGGGATGGAGGCTGCCACCCTTGGATCTACTGCATGCCACCCACCTGTCATTCTTTTGGTGCACATTCTGTAAGTGATTGTATCTGTTGGCCAGGATCCTTGGATTGCAAGTAATGGAAGCTGGCTCTGACTAACCCTTATCAAAGCAGGAATCTGAAGGATGTGGGGTGGCTCCTGGAACAGAAGGAAGGGCTAAAAGACCAGCTTTTAGAAGGATAAGACCTGGGTCAGCTCCAGGGTTTCAGGGAGCAGAAACGGGGGATTTCTTCAGGTCATGTGTTTTGGGAAGACCCAGTCAGTCTTATGTCTTGTGTCACTCATCTTAAGATAAAATTTCCCAGGAGTGGACTCTGGGCCTCAGGTCCATCCTCTGGCCAGAGTACCGTGGCCATATATTTCATGGAGGCAACAAATCCTGGAATCCTCAAGGGTAAACTGAAGTTCTGGGACAGAAGAGTGGGGAAGGGGGCCCACCCAAGAACAGAAGCCCACCCATACAGTCTCCACATGTTGCCCATCTCGGGATCTGTAAAGCCTCAGGTATACCTGGCACTTAATAGATGTCTAGACATACAGCAGAATTGCCTCCTCCCTCTCCTTATTCCCCACAGGTCTTTATTACTTCCTATGAAGCCCATTAAAACTCCCATGTTAGAAGTTTTTTTTTAGTCAAGTTATTAGAATCATAGAGAAATCAAGTTCCATGATGAAAGATTTTGGTTTAAACAAACTTAAATGTGCACTTCTCTGCCTCTGTCTTTTCCTTTTTATAGTGGAGGAAATGTCCCTTTTACTGTCCATGGCTAGGCCCCTTCCCAGAGCCTTTGCTCTTAATTATCCTTTCTGTCGTATATCTTCACTCTCTGTCTCTGTAGTTTCTCATTAACAGTCAATATGTTCATGGGATTGTGAGAATTAATACATGTAAAATGCTTAAAACTGCCTTATACTCAGTAAACTCAATAAATGTCAGCTGTTATTATAGAGGGAGAGCATCAGTTCCCCGCACTCAGGGATCGGTTCTCTCAGGGAGCATTCACATCCATAAAGGGAAAGTGTTTTCAACTAAAAGGGAAATGAGGCATACAGCACTCAGTAAGGATTAGATGTTATTGTTTTAATTACTGCCTTTCTCATAAATGCTAGTTTTTCAGGGCTCTTTTCCCCTGTCTTCTAACTTGATACACTCCTGGATTATTTTTATCCACTTTTCTGAGTTAAAGCATTTAAATACTGGTGAGCCTTAGTTTTATATATCCAGTTTTCCTAACCCCCAAACTACTTAGATTCTTCCCTCTTTCCTTCCTTCAACAATAAGCATCTACTGTGTACTGGGCACTGATGAAGAAAGCAGAAAGTATCATAAGGGACTTGGGCCTGGATTTTTGCTTTAAGAGACAGATGTTTAGATCATTGTGTATGTACTTCATAGATAAAAGGGAGAGGAAATACAACAGGCAATAAGATGGAAAGTAACAGGAAAGGAAGGCATAGTGTACATATTTATCTAGTATCCAAAAGGAAAAGAAAGACCCAGACTATTGCCCTAATGGTCCGGGAGCGAGTGATGAGAATGAAGACAGAACACGAAATCTGGTGCAAGGGGTCGGGGACCTGCGGCCTCTATTGGACTGAGGTGCAAAATCCACTCTGAGTCCAGCTTTTATTCGTAACTGCAGACTACAAGACTTTCTCAGACCTTATCTTTCTCAAGACACATGCCATATCAATCACATACTCCTAAGCATCATGGACTACACTGACACAGTCCAGATCTCCCTGTGTTTACGCCAGGCCATTCCCTTCTGGGCTGGTCTTGGGAACAATTAGCAAGTGCGTAGGCAGCGTTCATGCCTGATGCTGACTAGGCGTTCCAAGTCCATGCTTTCATGATCCCAGTCATAATCCCTTCTGGGTCTGACCCTGGGGTTTGTAACAAGGCTATAATTCTAAGAAGGACATGAGAAGTAATCATCAATATAGTTTCTTAATACATGCTGTTTTTCCAGGTATTATTTCTGTGAAACTTCTCAAGGCTGTGAAAGTACATTATTAGGAATTCCCACTACACCAGACATGCAACAGGGCAAGGAAAGTGGTTCCAGTTAAGTGTTCAGCAGATGTAAAGGCCAAGGAAGAGATAGGAGGTGTATTTGATGAGAGTGGGAACCTGGAGAGGAATGGGAGGTTGTCTTAGTCCATTCTGACATCTATAACAGTACCACCGATGGGGTGGCTTATAAACAAAAGAATTATTTCTCACACTTGGAGGCTGGAGTCTAAGATCAAGTGCCAGAAGATTTGGTGTCATGAGGACCTGCTTCCTGACTCATAGATCTTATATCTTCACCCAGTGGAAAGAGAAAGAGAGCTCTCTGAAGTCTCTTTTTTTATAAGGGCACATATCCCATTCATGAGGTCTTCACCTTCATGACCTAATCTCACCAATGCCCAGCCTTCTAATAACACCACTTTGGGGATTAGATTTTAACATGAATTTTGGGGGGCATAAACAATCAGTTCATTGCAGATGTGATTAAAGAGGTGGACTGGACTATATGAAGCCTTGATTGTGGTAAGGAATTTGGATTTGATCCTAAATGCATTGAGAAGACAATAAAGAATTTAAAGTAGGGGAATAATGATCTTTTCACATTTTAAAGAGATTCTTGGGCTTCCCTGGTGGCTCAGATTGTAAAGAATCTGGCTGCATTGCAAGAGATTCAGGTTTGCTCCCTGGGTCAGGAAGATCACCTGGAGAAGGGAATGAGTACCCACTCCAGTGTTCTTGCCTGGAGAATTCCATGGCCAGAGAAGCCTTGTGGGCTGCAGTCCATGGGGTTGCAAAGAGTTGGACATGAGTGAGCGACTTAACACTTTCACTGGACTTCCCTGGTGGTCCAGTGGTAAAGAATCCATCTGCCAATGCAGTGGACATGGCTTCCACCCCTGGTCCAGGAAGATCCCACAGGCCTCGGTGTAGCTGAGCCTGTGTGCTGCAACTACTGAACCTGCACTTGAGAGCCCGTGCTCGGCAGCAAGAGAAGCCATGGCGATGAGAAAACCGTGTACCT